CAAATATAAGCTTGTTTTACTCCAATGTTTGTAACCAAATAACATGTAAACAAACACTATATTGCCTCAAAACATGGTAAAACTATCATTTTGATATAATGGATGGTCAAACCTTGCATCCATAGCTCTGGTCCCACCTGATCTCGCCTCCCACTGCCTGCCTTCCATAGTTGAGGACATGTATTTCCATTGTTAGAGCGGTCACTCGACTATCTTGTCAATATAATAATAATCTTTGGTAAAGCTAGTTTTTGCTGTCTATTTTCCAGGAAACTCCTTGCAGAGTTGTCGTTAACGTTATAACGGATAATAAGACATTCTGTTATATTTACATTTTACTACTATTAAAGTACGACTTCGAATAAAATCGTTGTCTTACCTCGTATTATCCCGAAAAAATCAGCAAATAGAAGTTCAGGCAACTTGCATGTTGCAACACCAATCGTCAAATTTGTGGCGAATGTTGAGGGCAGAGTGCAATTATGTTTATATAAATCATTGGCTGAGTGTCTGATTGTGTAAAGGTCCTTGCTTTATAGTATTCTTGGGACGTACCTCCCACATTGAACTTTACATTTTAAATGGTTAAAGGGACAATCAGCAATTGCTACATCCATTTTTGGATTTATAAACTAATTATATCTACCCATTGATTCTTGAAGAATATAACTTATAAATGCCTCATGAGCCAACTGTCCTACCCCATCAGAACCCCAAATATAAGCTTGTTTTACTCCAATGTTTGTAAACAAAGAACATGTAAACAAACACTATATTGCCTCAAAACATGGTAAAACTATCATTTTGATATAATGGATGGTCAAACCTTGCATCCATAGCTCTGGTCCCATCTGATCTCGCCTCCCCCTGCCTGCCTCCCATAGTTGAGGACATGTATTTCCATTGTTAGAGCGGTCACTCGACTATCTTGTCAATATAATAATTAATCTTTGGTAAAGCTAGTTTTAGCTGTCTGTTTTCCAGGAAACTCCTTGCAGAGTTGTCGTTAACGTTATAACGGATAATAAGACATTCTGTTATATTTACAATTTTCTACTATTAAAGTACGTTTTCGAATAAAACCGTGGTCTTACCTCGTATTATCCCGAAAAAAATGAGCAAATAGAAGTTCAGGCAACTTGCATGTTGCAACACAAATCGTCAAATGTGTAGCGAATGTTGAGGGCGGAGTGCAATGATGTTTCTATAAATCATTGGCGCATTGTCTGCTTGTGTAAAGGTCCTTGCTATATGGAATTCTTGGGAGGTCCCTACCACATCGAAGTTGAAATGTAAAATGGTTAAAAGGGACAATCAGCATTTGCTACATCCATTTTTGGACTTATAAATTAATGATATGTACCTATTGATTCTTGAAGAATATAACTTATAAATGCCTCATGAGCTTAGTTCAACTGTCCTACCCCATCAGAACCCCAAATATAAGCTTGTTTTACTCCAATGTTTGTAAACAAAGAACATGTAAACAAACACTATATAGCCTCAAAACATCATTAAAACTATAATTTTGATACCATGGATGGTCAATCCTTGCATCCATGAATTTGAAAGTGATTACTTTTCTCCAGCCCCATCTTTTTACCGAACCAGGGGTAGGGAGGCTGCTTTGTTATTGTTTCTACTGCTGATTTCTGCTTTAAGGTAAGAGTTAGGGTAAGTATAGGGGTTAGGGTTTAGGCAGTGGTGTAGTGGTGCCAATAATATGAACTAAAACGTCCTGGTTTCAAACAATTAAGTAATATGAAAAATATAGTGATGCTATTGATAGGCCTAACCGTCTTTTGGTAGATGGAAAGGATTTCCCAAAAACGATCTAATTAAATGTTAACTAGCTACAAAGTAGCCTATGCCTACCTGGCAGAATTATATCATGATTATTTGCATCAATCCATTGGCTGTTTGTTTTGCAAACTCAATCTCATATGGCTACAGAAACAGAGGTAACCAGTGCTAGCTGCCTGTGCACTTGAATCAAAGGGTAAATACACAAAAAAATCCCAGACCTCAAAAGTGGTCTCCTGATGTGGTTTAAGCATTGTTGTGTACTTAGAACATCCAAGACTGGAAGTCTATATTTACAGTAACATACGCTAGTAACAAACAACATTTTAATGTAGGCCAATTGATAAATGCTGGTGGGTAATGTCTGTAGATGTGTCTGAATAATTCATTCAACAAACTACACCAATTAATTTGTTTCAATAACTGCATTAATTAAACAATTTAATAGATTATAAAATAATCATAAAATCTTCTCCATTCATTGACAAATACTGCTTTTCAACTCCTGCCAGGCCTACTTTACTTGCAGGGGCCAAGACAAGCTCTATTGCAGGGCTTATCCCTGTTCATGGATAGCTACCATCCTGTAGATTTTCACTCCAACCTTAACTACATTTTACATTTTAGTCATTTAGCAGACGCTCTTATCCACCACACATTTTTTTTTCTTCCATATGTTGGGATCTATTTTCTTATGGCTGGATGTGATGCCTAGCTTAGAAGGAATGCATTAATGATTAAACATAATGGGTTTGTACTGTACTGATATAAATTGTTTCACATAACAAGCTGTGATTCATGTGAGGAACGTTGGGGAGTAGGGAGTAAGAATTTGTGTCTCACATACACGAACACTGCCTCTTTGTTGGGCCGCGCTCAAGGACGTGTACTGCAAAAAGGTGCTGACTCTACAAGTTGTGATGATAACAACTTATGCCTGGCAACAGTGTGCAACAGTGAAGCGCCAAGGGGCTGGGACCAGCCTGTACGCCAACGGATAGGCTGAGTAAGTCTAAACCACGCTCAGTCTCTACTCTGATTGGCCAGCAGGGAGCGGGAACTATCTCTGTCAGAGTATTTGAAGAAGAACTTAGAACAATGGATCAGTTCTCTGAGTGCCCTGTGAGGTATTTCAGTGAGCCCGTATATACAAACTTCATATTTACCATTGAAGTGTTTTGCATTAATTAAAATACTAGTCTATTTTAGAAGACGTGTATTGACCTCTTTTGTTCCTAATACCAGATTTGAATTTACATTTACATTTTAGTCATTTAGCAGACGCTCTTATCCAGAGCGACTTACAGTTAGTGAATACATTTTTTATTTTTTTTATTTTTTATACTGGCCCCCCATGGGAAACGAACCCACAACCCTGGCGTTGCAAACGCCATGCTCTATCAACTGAGCTACATCCCTGCCGGCCATTCCCTCCCCTACCCTGGACGACGCTGGGCCAATTGTGCGCCGCCCATGAGTCTCCCGGTCGCGGCCGGCTGCGACAGAGCCTGGATTCGAACCAGGATCTCTAGTAGCACAGTTAGCACTGCGATGCAGTGCCTTAGACCACTGCGCCACTCAGGAGCAACTTAACACATACTGGCCCCCCGTGGGAAATGAACCCACAACCCTGGCGTTGCAAGCGCCATGCTCTACCAACTGATTTAATTAGCTGGTTGATAAGCTGAACCATACTGCGTTCATAACCAAGTGGGAAGGTGGTAATTACCCGTTGTGAAGTCATAAATACCAGTTGGGTACATTCATGTTTTGAACTGGGAAATACACAAACATGGATGTCATTAGAAAGCTTGTGATTGTTTTTCTCAGTTGCTGACCATAAAAAGTATATCCAGAGCTGCTTTCACTTTCTAAGTCAAAATAAATATGAACAGAATGAATTTTGTATCAACAATTTGTATTTAGTTCTTACCATGAACAACAACTGCTGAAGATGCCGCCATGCTTGCAGTCTTTTTTGGTGACAGTGATGTCAGAGGTGCAAGTGGGAAACTCAGTGCATGGGGATGACAGACAAGTTTCCCATTACTAATTACCAGTTGGAGGGCCTTTCAACTGGATTCTTTCCAGTTGTATGTGGTAAACATTACCACCTTCCCACTTGGTCATGAACACAGCATCAGGTTAGTTACAACTGGGGTTGGAGCGAAAACATACATGAGGGAAGCTCTCTAGGAACAGGGTTGGATAGCCTTGCTTTAATGCGTTCTCTTGTACATTTTCTCTAATAAGACAGCACAATGGTATTAGTCTACTGTAGTTGTCTTTCACACACTTAGCCTACCCCCTGCTCTTATGGGCCCATTGCAACCAACAGGCAGAACTTAACATGCAGCTGTATGTTAGCACTTGATGCTACTAACGGGAGATTCAATGCACCTGCGTGTTAAGACAAACTTGCTTTCAACCAAAAACCCACAAGAATAAACCCGCAGATCAGTTGATCTCATGTTGTTACCGTGTCAAACAAGTCTGATACCAGACATCTTCATCTAGGCTATCTACTCCAGCCCCCAATGAAATATCGACCTATAAGGAACATTACAAATCGGAAGGCTGGTAAATCATTTAAAATGCATATTGTAAGAATTTTAGGGCAGCTAAACTATTAAACAATTTAATTGAGTTAATCGCAGGATTTCCTGTGATTAATCACGATTAATGGAAAATTCGGAATTTGCTCAAATTAAGCTGTAATTTAAGATTTTCTTAATACAAAAAAGCTTTACAAGAATATTGATGTCTTGATTTTGTCCAATGTAATGGTTAGCAAAATCAGGTAAATTGATAAAGCACACTTTCTTTAACCTCAATTTCAACTTGTTTTGACATCGTATTGTTGTTTTTAGCTTTATAGATTATGTATTTTTGATGTTTTCAGTGTATTTTGTACGCCTTCAGACAATGCGATTAATCATATAAACATATCAATATAACTAGAATATAATTTGTGTCATCTGAAATACCTTGATTAGACTATAATTTAATACAAACAGATTATATTAACTCAATCATGATTGTCTTGATTTTGTTACACATTTTAGATGTGGACAGTTCAGGGATATTTTAGCCATACGTAATTACACAAGTTGTAATTAATGGATTGCATAATTTGGAAATGAAAACGTAATGAGTGCACTAACATGAGTTTTCCATTCATATAACCTATACGATTTATTGCCACAGTATAATTGATGTCTTAAACAATAAATTACTTTATTGTAGTTGTACTGAATGATTATCAAATAGTTAAAATCCCCCCTTAGTCTGCTCGATTACCTGGTTTTTATTTCTACAGAAAGATAATACCCTGTAGAGTGCGAACATGTCTTGTAAAATATTGGGAGAAAGCAGGACTAAGTTAACACCAACCTCACACGTAGCTTGGCTTTTAGGGAGTGTCAAATTTTGGAAGCAATTGAGATCAGCTGTGCGGGTGAACTTTGTATTGATGGTTTAACAACAAAATCACCTGGAGATAAAATGGTTGCCAACAGTGGTTGCAATAGGCCCATATTGTTCATTTCCACCCCGAAATGGTCTCAGGTAGACTGTACATCTTATAGAGGAGGCCTGTGGGGTGTGAGAGGAGTGATAAGAGACTGTGTCTAGTATAGAGGGTTAGTAGGAGAACAGCGCCAGACAGGGTCAATATCAGTCTCAGACTACAGGAGGCTCTGGTTCTGCTCTCTGGTTCTGGAGCCATCCTGGTCCTGAATGGCTGGGCTACTCGCTCCCACTGGGTGAGTATAGCCTGTCGGGCCCCATCCCACTGTCCTGGCCCTCTCAGACGGTACTGGTATGGGGTGCAGGGCCCCAGCAGCACACGCAGCCCCACACCAGGCTCCCTCAGCAGCAACCCTAGGAGGTTGGGTCGAACCCCTAACTCCTCTGCCATGGAGTCAAGATAGGGGATATGGTCCACCTGGAGAGGGTGCCGCTCCAAACAGGCAAACCTGGAGGGAGAGGGAAGAGAGACACACAGAGGTGCTTATAAATCATTTTTAAATATCAATCAATCACATTTTATTTATAAAGCCCTTTTTACATCAGCAGATGTCAAAGTGCTATACAGAAACCCAGCCTAAAACCCCAAACAGCAAGCAATGCAGATATAGTTTGTTACCTATTAGCAAAATAATTATGTGAGTGTAATAACGCATGGTTGTTGTCGCACCTGTTTTGCAAGGTGCTGGTGTCTCTCTTTATGTCCTGCAGCATGGCTTCTTCGGAGGGCAGTGTTAGTAACCCTGGAGCAATAAATTATGTAATCACACATTAATATTGACAAAAACCTCAAAGCTTCAATCACTCGCATTCAAATACACTAGGCTACCCAACAACTTCAGACACAGAGCTCCTGGACAAATCAGGAAAAGGGGAGTTAATGAGTTAATGAGGGTGTTAGTTAGTTGTTACCTTTAAAGACCCGGGTGGCCCAGCGGGCCTGCATCTCAGCCAGAGGGTTGATGGCTCCCATGTTACAGATGAAGCCCACTACAGCCAGACTGGGCCGGGCCAGCCCCAGGGGGAACACATGACGGTACAGACACAGGCGGTGACTGCTATTAGCCAGCAGACCCGAAGGCAGGAAGGGAAAGTCATAGTTGTAGCCGGTGGCAAACACCACAACATCCACCTAGGGAGGAGGGAGGGTAGGGGGGAGGTGAGGTGAGGTGAGAAGGGAGGAGAGAGAGTGTCTGTGTGTGTTTGTGTGTGTGTGTGTTTGTGTTCACCTTGTCCACAACGCTCCCGTCCTCAAACACCACACTGGAGCCTCTGATCTCCCTGATGTTAGGTTTGACCAGAACACGACCAGAGATGATTCGACCAGGCAGGTCATCATTCACCACTGGGATCTGGGCAAAGAACCTGAAATAGATAGATGGATGGATCAGACAGTCAGTCAGTCAGTCAGTCAGTCAGTCAGTCAGATACAGTGCCTTGCAAAAGTATTCATCCCCCTTGGCGTTTTTCCTATTTTGTTGCATTACAACCTGTAATTTAAATGGATTTTTATTTGGATTTCATGTAATGGACATACACAAAATAGTCCAAATTGGTGAAGCGAAATGAAAAAAATTACTTATTCTAAAAAATTAATAACTGAAAAGTGGTGCATGCATATGTATTCACCCCCTTTGCTATGAAGCCCCTAAATAAGATCTGGTGCAACCAGTTACCTTCAGAAGTTACATAATTAGTTAAATAAAGTCCACCTGTGTGCAATCTAAGTGTCACATGATCTGTCACATGATCTCAGATACCTGTTCTGAAAGGCCCCAGAGTCTGCAACACCACTAAGCAAGGGGCACCACCAAACAAGCGGCACCATGAAGACCAAGGAGCTCTCCAAACAGGTCAGGGACAAAGTTGTGGAGAAGTACAGATCAGGGTTGGGTTATAAAAAAATATCTGAAACTTTGAACATCCCACAGATCACCATTAAATCCATTATTAAAAAATTGAAAGAATATGGCACCACAACAAACCTGCCAAGAGAGGGCCGCCCACCAAAACTCACAGACCAGGCAAGGAGGGCATTAATCAGAGGCAACAAAGACCAAAGATAGCCCTGAAGGAGCTGCAAAGCTCCACAGCGGAGATTGGAGTATCTGTCCATAAGACCACTTTAGGCCATACACTCCACAGAGCTGGGCTTTACGGTAGAGTGGCCAGAAAAAAGCCATTGCTTAAAGAAAAAAATAAGCAAACACGTTTGGAAGAAGGTACTCTGGTCAGATGAGACTAAAATTGAGCTTTTTGGCCATCAAGGAAAACGCTATGTCTGGCGCAAAACCTCTCATCACCCTGTGGGGATGTTTTCCATTGGCAGGGACTGGGAAACTGGTCAGAATTGAAGGAATAATGGATGGCGCTAAATACAGGGAAATTCATGAGGGAAACCTGTTTCAGTCTTCCAGAGATTTAAGACTGGGACGGAGGATCACCTTCCAGCAGGACAATGACCCTAAGCATAGTGCTACAGCAACACTCGAGTGGTTTAAGGGGAAACATTTAAATGTCTTGGAATGGCCTAGTCAAAGCCCAGACCTTAATCCAATTGAGAATCTGTGGTATGACTTAAAAATTGCTGTACACCAGCGGAACCCATCCAACTTGAAGGAGCTGGACCAGTTTTGCCTTGAAGAATGGGAAAAAATCCCAGTGGCTAGATGTGCCAAGCTTATAGAGACATACCCCAAAATACTTACAGCTGTAATTGCTGCAAAAGGAGCCTCTACAAAGTATTGACTTTGGGGGGGTGAGTAGTTATGCACGCTCAAGTTTTAGTTTTTTTGTCTTATTTCTTGTTTGTTTCACAATAAAAAAATATTTTGCATCTTCAAAGTGGTAGGCATGTTGTGTAAATCAAATGATAGAAACACCCCAAAAAATCCATTTTAATTCCAAGTTGTAAGGCAACAAAATAGGAAAAATGCCAAGGGGGGTGAATACTTTCACAAGCCACTATATGTATAGAGCATACCCGTGTTTTGGCTGTAGGCCGTACAGTCTGTGGTCGAAGCTCTGGTTCAGATTATTCTCCATCATCCTGGTAATCCAGGAGGGGAAGAGCTTCTGCAGCAGTCTGTCCAATCGTGAAGTGCCCACCAGGTCACCTGGAAGGCCCCCTGCCCCCACCCTGCTGACCACCCATGCCCCCTTCCGCGTGCTGAGGTACACCTGTAGACCAGAAGAGGAAGGGTTAATGATCTTTGTCAGAGATGGCCTAGTCTCATTATACACCGACGAGATCTTACTTTATCTAAACAATGTATCTCAATACCTCCCAAACGCTTTGAAGATCGTAGACAAATTCAGTGTGCCCCTTTCTATCCGTAAATTTAAAGAAACAAGAAAATGGTGCCATCTGGTTTACTTATGATTTATACTTGTACTTTTGATACTTAAGTACATTTGATCAATTACATTTACTTTTGATACTTAAGTATACTTAAAACTAAAATATTTTAGACTTTTACTCAAGTAGTATTTTACTGGGTGACTTTCACTTTTACTTGAGTTATTTTCTATTAAGGTATCTTTACTTTTAATCAAGTATGACAATTGGGTACCTTTTCCACCACTGCTGAATTTAAAATGTATTCAATTGAGAGTTTTTGTTACTGGCCTATACACAATACCCAATAATGTCAAAGTGGAAAATCTAAATAAAAATGAAAAGTTGAAATGTCTTGAGTCAATAAGTATTCAACCCCTTTGTTATGGCAAGCCTAAATAAGTTCAGGAGCAAAATGTTGCTTAACAAGTCAAATAATAAGTTGCATGGACTCACTGTGTGTGCAATAATAGTGTTTAACATGATTTTTGAATGACTAACTAATCTCTGTACCCCACACATACAATTATCTGTAAGGTCCCTCAGTAGAGCAGTGAATTTCAACCACAGATTCAAGAACAAAGACCAGAGAGGTTTTCCAATGCCTTGCAAAACGATCTTCTTGACCCTAACCAGTCAGTCTTCAAGACTGGTCACACTAACCGAGACTGCTCTTCTCTGTGTCACGGAGGCTAGCCGCACTGCCAAACTGACTCTCTCTCCACTGTTCTCATCCTCCTAGATCTATCCGCTGCCTTTGACACCGTGAACCATCAGATCCTCCTCTCCACCCTCTCAGGGCTGGGCGTCTCAGGCTATGCACACTCTTGGATTGCATCCTACCTGGCAGGCCGCTCCTACCAGGTGACGTGGAGAGGATCTGTGTCTGTACCACATACTCTCACTACTGGTGTCCTCCAGGGCTCGGTTCTAGGCCCTCTCCTCTTCTCTCTATACACCAAGTCACTCGGCTCAGTCATATCCTCACAAGGTCTCTCCTATCATTGCTATGCGGATGACACTCAACTACTTTTCTTCTTCCCCCCTTCTGGCACCCAGGTTTTGACACGCATCTCTGTGTGCGTGGCAGATATCTCAACTTGGATGTCGGCCCACCACCTCAAGCTCAACCTCGACAAGACGGAACTGCTCTTCCTCCCAGGGAAGGCCTGCCCGCTCAAAGACCTCTCCATCACGGTTGACAACTCCACAGTGTCGCCCACCCAGAGTGCAAAGAACCTTGGCGTGACCCTGGACAACACTCTGTCGTTCTCTGCAAACATCAAAGCAGTGACCCGCTCCTGTAGGTTCATGCTCTACAACATACGTAGAGTACGACCCTACCTCACACAGGAAGCGGTGCAGGTCCTAATCCAGGCACTTGTCCTCTCCCGTCTGGACTACTGCAACTCGTGGTTGGCTGGGCTCCCCACTTGTGCCATCAAACCCCTGCAACTTATCTAGAACGCAGCAGCCCGCCTGGTTTTCAACCTTACCAAGTTCTCTCATGTCACCCCGCTCCTCCGCACACTCCACTGGCTTCCAGTTGAAGCTCACATCCACTACAAAACCATGGTGCTTACCTACGGAACAGCAAGAGGAACTGCCCCTCCCTACCTTTAGCCTATGATCAAACCTTACACCCCAACCAGAGCACTCCATTCTGCCACCTCAGGTCTCTTGGCCCTCCCATCCCTACTGGAGGGCAGCTCCCGCTCAGCCCAGTCCAAGCCCTTCTCTGTCCTGGCACCCCAATGGTGGAACCAGCTTCCCCCTGAAGCTAGGATAGCAGAGGCCCTGGTCATCTTCCGAAAACATCTGAAACCCTACCTATTCAAAATAATCTTAAATAATCATCCTCCTAATCACCTCGACCCCCCCTAAAAAAAAGAAGACTTAACCAGCACTTGACCCCAACCCCACCCACCCTCTAGCTCTGACTCTACTGACAGCTACGTTATTGAGGAGCAATGTACTTTCTTTGCCTGTGATATGTGGTTGTCCCACCTAGCTAACTTAAGATGAATGTACTAACTCTAAGTCGCTCTGGATAAGAGTGTCTGCTAAATGACTAAAATGTAAATATAAAGAAGGGCACCTATTGGTAGATGGGTAAAAAAACATTGAAGATCCCTTTGAGCATGGTAAAGTTATTAATTACACTTTGGATGGTGTATTAATACACCCAGTCACTACAAAGATACATGCGTCCTTCCTAACTCAGTTGACGGAGAGGAAGGAAACTGCTCAGGGATTTCACCATGAGGCCAATGGTGAATTTAAAACAGTTACAGATTTTAAATGGCTGTGATAGGAGAAAACTGAGGATGGATCAACAACATTGTAGTTACTCCACAATACTAACCTAAATGACAGTGAAAAGAAGGAAGCCTGTACAGAATAAAAAATATTCCAAAACATGCATCCTGTTTGCAACAAGGCACTAAAGTAATACTGCAAAAAATGTGGCAAAGCAATGAACTTTTTGTCCTGAATTCAAAATGTTATGTTTGGGGCAAGTCCAATGCAACACATTACTGAGTACCACTCTCCATATTTTCAAGCATAGTGGTGGCTGCATTATGTTATGGGTAAGCTTGTAATCGTTAAGGACTGGGGAGTTTTTCAGGATAAAAAAGAAATGGAGCTAAGCACAGGCAAAATCCTAGAGGAAAACCTAGTTAAGTCTGCTTTCCACCTGACACTGGGAGATTAATTTACCTTTCAGCAACACAAGGCCAAATCTACACTGGAGTTGCTTACCAAGAAAACAGTGAATGTTCCTAAGTGGCCGAGTTACAGTTTTGACTTAAATCTACTTGAAAATCTATGGCAAGACCTGAAAATGGTTGTCTAGCAATGATCAACAACCAATTTGACAGAGCTTGAAGAATTTAGAAAATAATAAAATGGTCAAATGTTGCACAATCCAGGTGTGGAAAGCTCTTCGAGACTTATCCAGAAAGACTCACAGCTGTATTCGCTGCCAAAGGTGCTTCTACAAAGTATTGACCCGGGGATGTGAATGCGTATGTAAATGAGATATTCCTGCATTTCATTTTTAATAAATGTAAAAATATAAAACATGTTTCCCTTTGTCATTATGGGGTATTGTGTGTAGATGGGTGAGAAAAAAAAAAAATTTAATCCATTTTGAATTCAGGCTGTAACACCAAAAAATGTGGAATAAGTCAAAGGGTATGAATACATTCTGAAGGCACTGTAGTTTAATGCTTCCCTTGTCTCCCCTTCTGGCTATTGGGAAAAAATCCATAGTGCGGGTTCTAAATGTATATGGCAAGGTAAGCGATCCCGGGTTAAAATTAACAAACTTACAAAGAGGGAAAGACGTATGAGGACTATCCGTACCAAACTTTAAATTGTATTTCCAGGCACTCGCATTTCGTCCCATACTAAATTGGTTTAGACATGATTATTCCATCCCCTGGCTGAGTATAGAGATAAATACAGTGTCTCATATTGCCCTGGAAGAGTAGGTCTTCACTGATACAGTGGGGGAAAAAAGTATTTAGTCAGCCACCAATTGTGCAAGTTCTCCCACTTAAAAAGATGAGAGAGGCCTGTAATTTTCATCATAGGTACACGTTTTTTGTAAGTCTTCACAAGGTTTTCACACACTGTTGCTGGTATTTTGGCCCATTCCTCCATGCAGATCTCCTCTAGAGCAGTGATGTTTTGTGGCTGTCGCTGGCAACACGGACTTTCAACTCCCTCCAAAGATTTTCTATGGGGTTGAGATCTGGAGACTGGCTAGGCCACTCCAGGACCTTGAAATGCTTCTTACGAAGCCACTCCTTCGTTGCCCGGGCGGTGTGTTTGGGATCATTGTCATGCTGAAAGAGCCAGCCACGTTTCATCTTCAATGCCCTTGCTGATGGAAGGAGGTTTTCACTCAAAATCTCACGATACATGGCCCCATTCATTCTTTCCTTTACACGGATCAGTCGTCCTGGTCCCTTTGCAGAAAAACAGCCCCAAAGCATGATGTTTCCACCCCCATGCTTCACAGTAGGCATGGTGTTCTTTGGATGCAACTCAGCATTCTTTGTCCTCCAAACACGACGAGTTGAGTTTTTACCAAAAAGTTCTATTTTGGTTTCATCTGACCATATGACATTCTCCCAATCCTCTTCTGGATCATCCAAATACACTCTAGCAAACTTCAGACGGGCCTGGACATGTACTGGCTTAAGCAGGGGGACACGTCTTGCACTGCAGGATTTGAGTCCCTGGCGGCGTAGTGTGTTACTGATGGTAGGCTTTGTTACTTTGGTCCCAGCTCTCTGCAGGTCATTCACTAGGTCCCCCCGTGTGGTTCTGGGATTTTTGCTCACCGTTCTTGTGATCATTTTGACCCCACGGGGTGAGATCTTGCGTGGAGCCCCAGATCGAGGGAGATTATCAGTGGTCTTGTATGTCTTCCATTTCCTAATAATTGCTCCCACAGTTGATTTCTTCAAACCAAGCTGCTTACCTATTGCAGATTCAGTCTTCCCAGCCTGGTGCAGGTCTACAATTTTGTTTCTGGTGTCCTTTGACAGCTCTTTGGTCTTGGCCATAGTGGAGTTTGGAGTGTGACTGTTTGAGGTTGTGGACAGGTGTCTTTTATACTGATAACAAGTTCAAACAGGTGCCATAAATACAGGTAACGAGTGGAGGACAGAGGAGCCTCTTAAAGAAGTTACAGGTCTGTGAGAGCCAGAAATCTTGCTTGTTTGTAGGTGACCAAATACTTATTTTCCACCATAATTTGCAAATAAATTCATAAAAAATCCTACAATGTGATTTTCTGGATTCTTTTTTCTCAATTTGTCTGTCATAGTTGACGTGTACCTATGATGAAAATGACAGGCCTCTCTCATCTTTTTAAGTGGGAGAACTTGCACAATTGGTGGCTGACTAAATACTTTTTTCCCCCACTGTATATCCCTAAAACAATGTAAACTATGCTTTGGTCCTATTATTGCTCACACAATCTCTATTTGACGCAAAATTGAAAAACAATGTAACTGGGAATCAAAATGGCATGACCATACTTAAATTTTTCACAATAATGCCTTGCTATCTGGAGGGCGGCCTTTTGCATCCCCCCAATGGTCCAAATGTGGAATCCGTATCCTTGCCGATATCATGGACAGGAATGGTTTGAGAACATTTAAAGATTTGAAAGACACATAACCACGCAACTCCTTTTTTCTATATTTACAATTTAGGTCAGCTATGCTGGCCTATGGAGTCCCTTGGGAAACCCAACTACCGAACCATCCAAAGATGGGATTTTAAAATAAATTATCTGGGCTCCCGAAAGGACTGATCTCTATAATATATAAATAACTTTTGGAAAGTTCATATTCTGAGCTAGCCGTGAAAAAAGTATGGTCCACAGATCTAAGTGAATATGAATAATCCTATAACTGGAACAGAATATGGAAAAATATTACCTTGGCATCCCGTAATCCGAACAATACATTTATACACTCACTGGACAGTTTATTAGGTACAACCATCTAGTACACGGTCGGACCCCCTTTGCCTCCAGAACAGCCTGAATTCTTTGGGTCATGGATTCTACAAGTTGGAAACGTTCCACAGGGATGTTGGTCCATGCTGACGTGATGGCATCACGCAGTTGCTGCAGATTGGACGGCGATTCACCACCGCCAACAGCCTGTACCGTTGACACCAGGCAGGCTGGGTCCATGGACTCAACCGGGATTCGTCAGACCAGGCGGTGTTTTTCCACTCCTCAAATTGTCCAGTGTTGGTGATCATGTGCCCACTGGAGCTTCTTCTTCTTAGCTGATAGGAGTGGAACCCGGTGTGGTCGTCTGCTGCAATAACCCATCCATGACAAGGATCGACAAGTTGTGCGTTCCCGAGATGCCGTTCTGCACTCCACTGTTGTACTGTGCCATTATTTGTCTGTTTGGTGTGGCCCGCCTGTTAGCTTGCATGATTCTTGCCATTCTCCTTCGACCTCTCTCATCAAGAAGCTGTTTTCACCCACAACACTGCCGCTGATTAGATGGTTTTTGTTTGTTGCAGCATTCTCTGTAAACCCTAGATACTGTCCTGCGTGAAAAGCCCAAGGGAGGTCGTTTCTGAGATACTGGATCAGGCGTGCCTGGCACCGACGATACCACACTCAAAGTCGTTTAGGTCACTCGTTTTGCCCATTCTAACGTTCAATCGAACAGTAACTGAATGCCTCGATGCCTGTCTGCCTGCTTTATATAGCAAGCCATGGCCACGTAACTCACTGTCTGTAGGAGCGATCCATTTTCGTGAACGGGGTGGTGTACCTAATAAACTGTCCGGTGAATGTACATTTTTAAGTTTGTTCACAGACTGTATTTAACACCAAGGAAATGTTTTACGATGAAATTGGCCCCATCTCTCAAACGTTCACTGTGTCCCCATATGATGTGGGAGTGCCCAGCAGTTAAATGCTTCTGGGACAAAGTGACAAAATTAATTTTGAAGTGCTTGAATTTAAATATTAAATGACAAGCAACCCTAGGAGAGGTGGGAAGGGGTGGAAAACATGGTTTCTTGGTGGGGATGTGGGTGGTTGGAGGGAGACATGTTAGATGGGTGGGGTTGGGGGAATGGGGGGTGTTGTTGTGGGTGGAAGCTCACTTTTTTCTCTCTCTCTTTTTACATACTACATTTATTGTTACTTTTTGGCTCTGTGATGTGAGCTAATAAATTATATGCATTTGTGTATTGTGCATGTAGCCACCCCAACAAGAAAATACATGTTTTATAAAGATTTGGCCACAAAAAAAAGAATTGTCTAAGTGTCTTCCTGTTCATGCAAGCCAGGAGTTTTGCATACTTCCCTACATAATATCTGAGAGAAATACTTCCAGAAGAATCAGATGATTTCGCACTCACCTGCTCCGCTACTCTGCTGGCATCCACAGCGATGTCACCTCCAGAATTCCCGATCCCAACCACCACCACCTTCTTCCCCTGCAGCCCCTCGGCACTGCGGTATTCCCAACTGTGTAAGTACCTGCCCTCAAACTCCTCTATACCTGGGAGGATCAGATAATCAAATAATAAATAATAATACTCCATCATGGCAATTGATTAAACAATGATAATTGAGCATGCTATTCAAATTATACGGTGTGAGGGCTATGACTGGGATATACACATGATGATGTATGTATGTACACTACCGTTCAAAAGTTTGGGGTCACTTAGAAATGTCCTTGTTGATTTTTTTTGCCAATTAAAATAACATCAAATTGATCAGAAATACAGTGTAGACATTATCAATGTTGTAAATGGCTATTGTAGCTGGAAACGGCTGACTTTTAATGGAATATCTACATAGGCGTACAGAGGCCCATTACCAGCAACCATCAGACTTGTGTTCCAATGGCACATTGTGTTTGCTAATCCAAGTTCATCATTTTAAAAGGCTAATTGATCATTAGAAAACCCTTTTGCAATTATGTTAGCACAGCTGAAAAATGTTGTGCTGATTAAAGAAGCAATACACGTGGGAGGCCACAGTGCACAACTGAGCAAGATACATTTGAGTGTCTAGTTTGAGAAACAGACGCCTCACAGGTCCACAACTGGCAGCTTCATTAAATAGTACCCGCAAAACACCAGTCTCAATGTCAACAGTGAAGAGGCGACTCCAAGATGCTGACCTTCTAGGCAGAGTTGCAAAGAAAAAGCCATATCTCAGACTGCCCATCTTAATATTTTCCTTTAATTGGCCAGTCTGAGATATGGCTTGTACGAGATCTTCAGTTTCTTGGCAATTTCTCAAATAGAATAGCCTTCATTTCTCAGAACAAGAATAGACAGACGAGTTTCAGAAGAAAGTTATTTGTTTCTGGCCATTTTGAGCCTGTAATCGAACCCACAATTGCTGATGCTCCAGATACTCAACTAGTCTCAAGGCCAGTTTTATTGCTTCTTTAAAATCAGCACAACAGTTTTCAGCTGTGCTAACATAATTGCAAAAGGGTTTTCTAATGATCAATTAGCCTTTTAAAATGATAAACTTGGATTAGCAAACACAACGTGCCATTGGAACACAGGACTGATGGTTGCTGATAATGGGCCTCTGTACGCCTATGTAGATATTCCATTAAAAGTCAGCCGTTTACAGCTACAATAACCATTTACAACATTAACAATGTCTACACTGTATTTCTGATCAATTTGATGTTATTTTAATGGACAAAAAAATTGCTTTTCTTTCGAAAACAAGGACATTTCTAAGTGCACCCCAAACTTTTGAACGGTAGTGTATGTATGAAGGATGTGATTAGGATTTGAGTCTATATATCTCCAGTGATAGTAGCATATAAATGGACAATAAACAAATACACAACGTCACTGGGGACTATGATAGGGATAGAGAGTTGACTGCTACCTGGGAAGTCATTGAGAGGCAGGTGTGGTCGTGTAAAGTGACCGGTGCAGACCATCACAGCATCAAAGACCTGAGTCTCCCTCTGACCTTCTGTCCTCTCTGTCTCCACCTCCCACTGGCCCGACACTGGGAAGTCTGGCCTCTGTCGCACACTCACCACAGTGGTCTGACACACACAGGTAGGCAGGCAGACACGTACGCACACACCGCGAAATGAATCACTATTTACCATTGAAAGGGATCATAACATAAGATGTGACTGAATAAACATCAACTTCCTTCCTTCATGCCCTCTGACCTGGAAGAGGATGTGCTTGAAGAGGTCAAAGTTCTCAGCGTAAAGTCGTAGGTAGATCAGCAGCTGGGAGTGGTGCATGTTGTTGGGCAGGTGAGCTGGAGGAGGGAAGTCGCTGTATGACATCATTTCCTTGGAGCTGTTGATGATGACAGACTGGTAGATGTTGGCCCTGCCTGGGTCTGGATGCTCCTAAAGGACGAGGACACAGACTAAGGATATGCTATACACACTACTATTCACCTTATGACACCAGGAAAGGGCGCATCCAGTTTGTTACGACTGTTTTCCTCCTTCCGGCCCATTCACAAACAAGCAAAACTTTGTTAAATATGAATTATATTTGTAAAAACTATTAAATAACATGTTCATTCTATGTTGAGGAAAATTATTTTGAAAATGAAAACGTTTGTTTCCACATAGTATAAGCACTCGGAAGCTGACGTTAGTTAGCATTAGCATTCTCATAGAGAATGACTGGCAGTGTTAGCTAGTTAGCTTTGTGACACAAAATATCGCAAATATCGTAATGTTATCGATACAGAAAACATTTAGAACATGATTTCAGTCTTCGCCATTTATATTCTGTGTCTAACAACATTGCCATTTCAAGCATTGATCTTTGATTGGGATACAGCCTCTAAGGATAACGACCATTTGATACAGTCTAATATGCTAACTAGCTAACACCGTCAATCATTCTCTATGAGAATGCTAATGCAAACTAACGTCAGCTTCCGAGTGCTTATACTACGTGAAAACAAACATTTATATTTTTTCAATCATTTTCCTTCACAAAGAATAAACATATCTTTCAAATTCTGTGCACATTATTTAATAGTTTTGACCAATTTCATTCATATTTAATGAAGTTTTGCTTGTTTGTGAATGGGCCGGAAGGAGGAAAACAACTTGGGTCATCACTAGTTACCACAACCACAAAGTCATAAACCTTCTACAATTTATCTTCTTAAAATTGTATTTTAAACCTAACCCTAACCTTAACCACACTGCTAACCTTATGCCTAACCCTAACCTTAAATTAAGACCAGAAAGCACATTTTTGTTTTCATTAATGTTTTCTTTGTGGCTGTGATAACTAGTGGAAACCCAGGAACTGGGTCAAGTGAGCGGAGCATCATAAGGTGAATATACCACTTAGAATGCGTCCAATACATTAGATATTGGAACAAAGCCAGGGTAATTTATTATGGTTAAACTTTTGACATTGAAACAGAGCCAGTGTCATTTATATCGGATATTGAAATCTCCAGCAGTGGTGGGCAATGGCAAAACTCCATATTTGTACACACTCAACACACACATGTACGCACGCACGCAGAGTGGATTAGTGTCGATCAGGCATCAGGTTCCTCAGCCAGTCCACTCACCTTGAACCTCCACAGCCCTCCGATGTCTTCACTGCTCTCAAAGCAGGTGGGCTCCAGACCCTCGTCCAGACAGCTCTTGATGCTGGTCAGTCCCGAGGGACCCGCCCCGATCACTGCTACTGTACGCACCATTATGATGGAACTACACACACACAGAGAGAGAGAGAGAGAGAGAGATGTTTGTACCATTGGAATAACTACAACCAATTTACAATGTCACACTCACTTCTGTCCATGCACACCATCACACATGGAGAAACTTGGAGAAAGACTGACAGTTGTGTAGTGCTATTTTTTTTTTTAGGTGAGGGACGGACAGATGTAGCCTATTGAGTGGCCTATATACAATATAGATCAAATGCATCCTCCAATTGCAACGTCTGCCTATGCCCACACATATTGTCTCAATCATTTCTTTCTATTTTTAATACCCTCAAACACCAAGTTAGGCATCCTTCATTTCAAAATAGGCCATCATCACGGTCAATCAGGAATGATAATTCTTCACGTTTTACTGATGAAACATCCAAACTGCATCTGCATGCCAATCATTTGATTGTTCTCAATCAGTTTCATGGATGGGAATATGCATTTAGATCTTCTTGAATTACTGTTTCGTGAGCGAATTAGAGCAGAAGGTGTTAAAATATTACCCTTTCTTGTATTTTGTTTCAATCAAAGCATATACAGTATCCTGCCTAGTGGCGTGTTCTGTTGAGTTTTGGTGCATGAGAAAAAAAAGTGACCATTCAGCTTCAGCTAAACATCTTGAAATCTCATTAGAAATTAGATGTTTTTGGTGTAACAGTAATGTTATAGGCCTACTATGCTATGCTATTATATTTGGTTTTGTTATTTAAAATGCAAATTAATCATTATGTGATCTTGTGAGACATTGATTCAGCTTTGATCTAATTTGACTAAAGGAGCACAATTGTAAGAAGTGATAATCTTCTATATGTAATAATAATAAGTGATGAGTAGGAGGACTATAAGGCGTAGGCAACAGATCTTGATGAATGCCATTGGAGTGCCCTTCGTGGTGCTGAAAGGACCGCGGCAGGATCGCGCAATGATGTTAAAGAAGTTGAACCAACTTGAGGTGCTGAAGGGTAGCTGAAGGATAGCGCTGCCATTAGGTCGGTTCAGGAACAAACAATAATTGCACTATAGCCTAATAGGCCTACGACGTACAGTGATGGAAAAAAGTATTTGATCCCCTGCTGATTTTGTACATTTGCCCACTGACAAAGACATGATGAGTCTATAATTTTAATGGTAGGTTTATTTGAACAGTGAGAGACAGAATAACAACAAAATAATCCAGAAAAACGCATGCTAAAAATGTTATAAATTGATTTGCATTTTAATGAGGGAAATAAGTATTTGACCCCTCTGCAAAACATGACTTAGTACTTGGTGGCAAAACCCTTGTTGGCAATCACAGAGGTCAGACGTTTCTTGTAGTTGGCCACCAGGTTTGCACACATCTCAGGAGGGATTTTGTTCTACTCCTCTTTGCAGATCTTCTCCAAGTCATTAAGGTTTCGAGGCTCGAACCTTCAACTCCCTCCACAGATTTTCTATGGGATTAAGGTCTGGAGACTGGCTAGGCCACTCCAGGACCTTAATGTGCTTCTTCTTGAGCCACTCCTTTGTTGCCTTGGCCATGTGTTTTGGGTCATTGTCATGCTGGAATAACCATCCACGACCCATTTTCAATGCCCTGGCTGAGGGAAGGAGGTTCTCACCCAAGATTTGATGGTACATGGCCCCGTCCATCGTCAATTTGATGCGGTGAAGTTGTCCTGTCCCCTTAGCAGAAAAACACCCCCAAAGCATAATGTTTCCACCTCCTTGTTTGACGTTGGGGATGGTGTTCTTGGGGTCATAGGCAGCATTCCTCCTCCTCCAAACACGGCGAGTTGAGTTGATGACAAAGAGCTCGATTTTGGTCTCATCTGACCACAACACTTTCACCCAGTTCTCCTCTGAATCATTCAGATGTTCATTGGCAAACTTCAGACAGCCCTGTATATGTGCTTTCTTGAGCAGGGGGACCTTGCGGGCGCTGCAGGATTTCAGTCCTTCACGGCGTAGTGTGTTACCAATTGTTTTCTTGGTGACTATGGTCCCAGCTGCCTTGAGATTATTGACAAGATCCTCCTGTGTAGTTCTGGGCTGATTCCTTACCAGCCTTGTGTAGGTCTACAATCTTGTCCCTGACATCCTTGGAGAGCTCTTTGGTCTTAGCCATGGTGGAGCGTTTGGAATCTGATTGATCGATTGCTTCTGTGGACAGGTGTCTTTTATACAGGTAACAAACTGAGATTAGGAGCACTCCCTTTAAGAGCGTGCTCCTAATCTCAGCTCGTTACCTATATAAAAGACACCTGGGAGCCAGAAATCTTTCTGATTGAGAGGGGGTCAAATACTTATTTCCCTCATTAAAATGCAAATCAATTTATAACATTTTTGACATGCGTTTTTCTGGACTTTTTTGTTGTTATTCTGTCTCTCACTGTTCAAATAAACCTACCATTAAAATTATAGACTGATTATTTATGTCAGTGGGCAAACGTACAAAATCAGCAGGGGATCAAATACTTTTTTCCCTCACTGTATAGCTATTTGTAGGCTGTAGTCTAATGTAAATACATATAGCTTAATATCATTGCACTGTTTGCGAGGAGAGCTTTAGTTGCGAGTAGGCATTTCATTGTATTGTGTAGTTTACACTACAACGCTGTATCTTAAATAAACTTGGATTTGATTAGCTTGAACACGATTACAATATACCTTATTACAGAATAAAATAAAACAGAGGTGAACTATCAATCTATATAATTTATTTGCATAGATTAAACATACTATCAAATCAATTCACCAAGTAGTGAACATAAACAATTACTACATATAAATTGCAGCAAATCCAGTTGAAAAACAGCCATAAAATCTAACTTTTGGTGTAGTGTATTCATGCATCTCAATAAACTATATCCTAAATGCATTATTACCTTCAACTTGGCCCAATTCACATGTACAATTGACCACCCTGATATACCAAGCTAGACCAATAGCCAATATAGGCTAAATATCCCAAGCAGGGCTACAGCAACTTCCAGAAGAGGGTCAGGCTCCTTGGGCTTTGCAGTGGCCACTGGTTTTGGTGTCTTTTGGCAGAACGGTGTCGCTTTAACCAAGTGGTCACATATCGTTCTGGGTTCCACTGCCCAAGAGGGGATCCGTGGAGTTTTATGAACATCAATGCAGACACACAGTGAATTTGGATCCTAGATATCGTTGGTGTGATAAGGTTAATCTGCCTAAACCCCCTCTCACACTCTGCCGAGCTGCAGATTTTCCCCCCAGGTTCTGATTGGCCAAAGTGGTCAAGCACGTAGCCTACAGTTCTTCATTAGTCTCGCCACTGTCAGAGAGAAGACACCACCACTTACCTACCTTTAGGCTGCTATACATATTTATTTGGTTTGCCATTCATAATTTTTCATGGGATTTGAGTGGCAATTAAATATAATTTATCAGAAGTCATTTTCCAGAAATAATTTTACCAGCTCAAATTGGAAAAAAATGTGGGAGCTGCGCCCCAGCAGCACTACACCCCTGGACACTAGGAACCCTGCCCTGCACAGACAGGAAAGGGTCATGGCCAGACCAGATCAGTGCCTCTGATTGGTTAGTGGGAATGGCACTGTTCCTGGAGGATGGTCACAAAAACTTTCGAGCTAAGAGCCAAATTTTATGACCCCTTGGGGGGGATGGGCAGTGGAGTGAGGTGTGAGATGGACAGCACAACAACATTTTACATTTTCGTCATTTAGCAGACGCTCTTATCCAGAGCGACTTACAGTTAGTGAATGAATACATGTTTTTAGTTTTTTTCATACTTGCCCCCCGTGGGAAACTAACCCACATCCCTGCCGGCCAAACCCTCCCCTACCTTGGACGACGCTGAAGGGCAAGAAGGGCAATTCTCAACGCTTTCTAATTTGTTTTATTTTAAACGTGTTGATGTTATTTTAACCATGTTTTGCATTTCTCTGAATGCACAATCCATACACCATTGTCAATCAATCAATGATTGGCTTAGCAACTTACAGCTATTTACAGTGCATACGGAAAGTATTCAGAACCTTTCCCTTTTTCTACATTTTGTGACGTTACAGCCTTATTCTAAAATTGATTGAATTGTTGTTTTTTCCTCATCAATCTACACACAATACCCCATAATGAAAACAGGTTATACATTTTTGCTAATGTATTAAAAATAAAAAGCTGAAATATGACATTTACATAAGTATTCAGACCCTTTGCTATGAGACTCAAAATTGAGCTCAGGTGCATCCTCTTTCCATTGACCATCCTTGAGATGTTTCTACAACTTGATTGGAGTCCACCTGTGGTAAATTCAATTGATTGGACATGATTTGGAAAGGCACACACCTGTCTACATAAGGTCCCACAGTTGACAGTGCATGTCAGAGCAAAACCCAAGCCATGAAGTCGAAGGAATTGTCCGTAGAGCTCCGAGACAGGATTGTGTTGAGGCACAGATCTGAGGAAGGATACCAAAAAATGTATGCAGCATTGAAGGTCCCCAAGAATACAGTGGCCTCCATTATTCTTAAATGGAAGAATTTGGAACCACCGAGACACAGCTGTCCACCCAGCCAAACTGAGCAATCGGGGGAGAAGGGCCTCGGTCAGGGAGGTGACCAAGAACCCGATGGTCACTGACAGAGCTCCAGAGTTCCTCTGTGGAGATGGGATAACCTTCCAGAAGGACAACCATCTCTGCAGCACTCCACCAATCAGGCCTTTATGATAGAGTGGCCAGATGGAAGCCACTCCTCAGTTTGCCAAAAGGCACCTAAAGGACTCTTAGAGCATGAGAAACAAGATTCTCTGTTCTGATGAAACCAAGATTGAACTCTTTGGCCTGAATGCCAAGCGTCACATCTGGAGGAAACCTGGCACCATCCCTAACGGTGAAGCATGGTGGTGGCAGCATGTGGGGTAGTTTTCAGCAGCAGGGACTGGGAGACTAGTCAGGATCGAGGGCAGACCTGAAAATAGCTGTGCAGCTCCAACCTGGCAGAGCTTGAGAGGATCTGCAGAGAAGAATGGGAGAAACTCCCCAAATACAGGTGTGCCAAGCTTGTAGCGTCATACCCCAAAATACTTGAGGCTGTAATCGCTGCCAAAGTGCTTCAAAAGTACTGAGTAAAGGGTTTGAAAACTTATGTAAATGTGATATTTCCAGTTTTTTTATATACATTTGAAAACATTTCTAAAAACCTGTTTTTGCTTTGTCATTATTGGGTATTGTGTGTAGATTGATGAGGGAGAAACTATTTAATCAATTTTAGAGTAAGGCTGTAACGTAACAAAATGTGGAACAAGTCAAGGGGTCTGAATACTTTCCGAATGCACTGTAAGTGGGTTTGAGTCAACATTTCACTCCTTTAACCTTATCGACAGAGAATGTACACCTTAACATTTAGTTTATCTACAGAGAGATACAGCAGTTATGTGGATGTGAACTTTGGTCTAGTTAAACGATTTTACAGCTCCTGTCCTGGTCTCCACTCATTGAGGGCATGAGGCAGTGTGAGAGTAGGGGACGGTAAGGAGCAAATCAGTACATATTACTGAATACTTTAAAGGGCTTTTTTCCTGTGAAGAACTCTTTTATCAGGGTTAGTTATCCTAATCTTTGTTTTAATCGTCTAAAGGTTCTTCCTTGAACCCTCTATGAAGGGTGTAAAGCCTTATTTGCATATTTATCAGTATGCCTTTCGAGTGAACTCAGTGGCCTTGTGGTTAGAGTGTCCGCCCTGAGATTGAAATGTTCAGAGTTCAATCCTTGACCGAGTCATACCAAAGACAGAAAAAATGGGACCCTCTGCTTGGCACTCAGCTATAGATAGATTGGGAATAAGGCTGTGTCCAGGGGGTGTATTTGTAAATTTTTACATTTTTTGTCATTTAGCAGACGCTCTTATCCAGAGCAACTTACAGTTAGTGAGTGCATACACTTTTCATACTGGCCCCCCGTGGGAATCGAACCCACAACCCTGGCGTTGCAAGCGCCATGCTCTACCAACTGAGCTACAGGAGGCCCCATCACGCTACAGAAACAGGAGATCTCGTTCGCACAAGCCAAGGCTCATGCAAGGCTACTTACTTACCTTTGAGTGAATTGTAGAGTTACTGTGTTTGTTGGTGACAGAGACATGGTTGTTGCATTCAATGGCCCTCACCAAGTGAGTGCCTAAGTTAATGTTATCATTAAACTCTTTATGACAATACATTACATATATCATAAGGCCTTACTTTGACGGCCTAGTTTTACCCTAACACACTGGTTAACACTTTTGGTTTGCAGGCCACATCAGGCATGCAAGTCACATTATGCTCCAAGTGATGTGTTTTTCCTATTGGAATTCCAGCCAGAGTGGGGATATCCAACAATTGGAACATTTAATCACACACAACCTGCATTTGAAATGACTGCCAATGTACCTAAACTGGAACAACCATCTCAGAAACAGGGCAAAATAAATCCAACTACTAACAGATAGGATTAGTTTAGAAAAATGTATGTTATTGTTTGTTTGTGTAGCATAAGATAAATCCATCAATCAATGTAGTTGTCAAGCACAGATATTGAAACAAACGATTCGAAAAATCTACCTGCAATAGATCATGTTCGGAAATATGATAATGATGGGTGTGTTGACTGTTTCTAAGTGTGTTACTCTACACAGAGTAACAATGACCCAATCACACTCAACTCTGGGTATTAACACCAACACTGGGGTTCTTTTACACCACTTAGAGTTTATTCAACTCTAGAAATGTTACACTGAAAAATCATCACTAGGTAACACTTGGCAATTTGCTGTGTACAAATACTGTATTATTCCCATATAGGTACAGTTCTCACATCTATCTTTTGCAACATAAAATTACTCAAACTCTTGATATTAAAGTTTAAACACTGAGGTAAACACTAGCTCACCTCACAATGCTCAGGCACTATTTAAAAGAATGTGGAAAAATACAATAAAAAAAACTTATTCAGATTTAGAAGGGCCCCATAACTCTTAACCAACATACATACATGGATGGGAGTATACTGCCAAGACAGAGAGGGGAAATAGAGAGTGGGAGAGAGAGAGAGAGAGAGAGAGAGAGAAACACACTGGGCACACACTGGTTGAATCAACGTTGTTTCCACATAATTTCAATGAAATGACATTGAACCAACTTGGAATAGACATTGAATTTGTTGCATCCTAAGATGCTAGGTTATTTTACTCTAGACTCCTAGGCGTACTTATAATAAACAGAACAGATTTATTTTATGTTCTCCTTAACACATTCCAGTCGACCACTCTCTACAGTGTCTTCAGCCCAACTCCCCAATACATCATTTAACTTGTACCGCCCTTGCATCACATAATCCAATCACTTCAATGCAAGAACGGAAACCCCATTGTCATTTGTTAATGCAGAAAACTCAACCCCTGCATACAAATCCCATTGGCTATTTGCAACCATTTTAAATATAAACTCATTAACACATAATGCATTTGTCAATACACCACAGAATTGACTTCTGTGCCAAGTGGGAAGAGAGGGAGAGGGAGGGTATAGGGTAACAAGAGCTGTTTTGCAGACCAACCAGGGGTACTGGAGACTATGTCGGTGTGAGCCAAAGAGAACGGAACATGGCAGAGAGCCAAAACACATATTTCCTGGAAATCCTAGAGCATGGGGACGATCGCTGTAAAACTGCTCAACTCTCAGTAGCACAGCATGATATGCATTGTTCCACGAAGAGTGCCTTTCATGTACACTCAGTTGAACAGTTAGATCACGTACATCTACGCTCTAACTAAACCATGTTCAAAATTATAATATTAGTGTTACGTTTTTATAAAATATTTTTCGCTGGAAAACCCAATTTTGGCATGCCCACGTCATGTTTGTCCAACTTCTAGGAAGATTTTAACCCACTTAACCCCAAACTTTGCCCATGTTTGCTTTGACAAAGTCATTTCTGAAGATTATTTAGTCCATGCGTTATGTGATTAATTTACATTTGTCCCTCAGGTCAACCATTATAGTCATTTTTCTTCATTTAACCTCTGGAGATGGGAAAACATATTTGTTTTATAGTTGAACATGTGCTATTTATGACAGAATGTAAAGAGTTGGTAAAATACAAAAAAAAAGTTTATATATATTTTTATGTACAAAATTATATTACCCATACTTGCGACTAACGCCACGCTCACGTGCTAGTCGGAACTAGGAAACTGACATTTCTGACTTGCAAACTTGCTGTAGAAAGATGATCCTGAGTTTCCCACTTGGGATGTATCAGAATCAACCAAAAGGAAGCGCTACGCAAATAACTTATGTTCATTTTAAGGGTTGTGGCCAGACCAGATCAGTGACACTGGTTAGTGGCACTGTTTTCTGGGGGATGGTCACAAAATATGTCCAGCTAGTAGCCAAAGTCTATGCCCCCTTGACTATAAGCCCTGATGGGGGGGATGGGCAGTAGTGAGGTGTGATATTGTAATGAGAGAATGTAAACCCTATTTTAACCCTGCAGGAGTGGTTATGTTTACTGAAACAGAGTAATTTGCATCTCTAAATGCACTGTTTCTTTAGAACTTCACTAATTGGCTTTTCAATCCATTGACCATTGTCAATCAATCAATGATTAACTTAGATACCTACATCTATTTAAGAGTGCTTGAGTCGATCAGGACACAGAAGGGTATAAACAGAAAATAATACAGATCATCAAAAATAACTGTGACTTCAAACTGAACAACAAAGAGCTCTAGAAACAAAGTAACCAATATAAAGTATCTGCCTCTTCAGTGAATAAGGAACACAGAGTTCCATGAACATGAACATGTTTTATCAGTCTGATGTAATCAGTGTCTCAGGAAGATTTGCACTATAAATACCTTGCTTTTATGTTTTCCCAGAATATTTAAAAGGGAGAGTTGCTCACCCATTGCTCTGGTTTGATATTTTTTCTTAAAAAGCATGAAACATGTAGCCTGATCCCGTTTAATGTAATCTCGTGTGATCAGGTGGCTTTGCGAGGCTATGAAACATCATTGAACAACACACAAAACACTTTTTCAAACAGTAAACATTGATGGAAAAAAAAATTATGCACTCACTAACTGTAAGTCGCTCTGGATAAGAGCGTCTGCTACATGACTAAAATGTAAATGTAATGATGAAGAAGTTGTGCTTACCTCTCTATTCCAGTGGACACGGGTTGAAATGAGCCCAAGGTACAGTGTTGCCAACTCCTCAGTAAGGAAAGTAGCTATTGGCTGTCCTAAAAGTCGCCAGAACAGCCAATAGCTGTAGGAGAGAGGCATAACGTCGTGGGAGAGACAAAACGTGAGTAAAAAACACCCTACATTTACACCCCGCCCTGAATGTAAACCAGGGCGGAATCAGCCAGCGGCGGCTTCCCGCATGCTCGATTCATTTGCAGTCTGGACGCGGAGGGGTGAACATCTCCTGTTGTGACTGTAGCTGGGAGGGACTGCTGCGCGAGGACTGGGCCGCTTGTAAGTGCTTTGGGACGGGGGTAACAAAGCACCCGCTGCTCGTTGAGAAGAGTAAGAACGATACGTGCTTTCACGTCAGTCTCCAAAAGTCGCTAGATTTGTCGCTAGTCGCTTTTTTGAAAATGTGTCGCTAGAGGGGTCTGAAAACCCGCTAACTATAGCGACAAATTCGCTAAATTGGCAACACTGTAACAAACCCCAGAGCTCTCTTTCTCTCCTCCACCCCTCCTCCAAATCCTCCAGCCCCTTGTCACTCAAACCAGCACTGATTGGTTCATTTCACTAGCCGTGTGTCTGTGAAACAATTATGATTGGTCAACTGTGACTGATTTGTCAACCAAGTGACTCAAGTCAAGAGATGAGAAACAAACCCCAAACCTGATCCCACACTGTTTTACATTTTCTTTATTGCTTTTTAAATGTCAAACACAGATCTTTATACACTACAGTAATGCCTTCTTCAGTAGGACATGCTTTGGTTTGATGTTGAACAGGTACAGAAAGAGGCTGGATATAGCCTACAAGAGTACAAACTAGAGGATAGAGGCTACATAAACAAATACTATAGTGTATACTATGGTATGAATACTATAATATTGACTGTAGTGTTTTTGTGTGGATAATACTGTAGTATTTACTATAGTATTCTACAGTTTACAACATAATTCTATAGTAAGTACTGTAATATTCTATAGTAAACTTTAGTATTTTTTCATGTGGGCAGTTATGAAGGATGGTTTAATTTGATTTATTTTCTATTTAACATGTATTTAAGCAGGGAGTCCCATTAAGACCAAGGTCTATTTTTCAAGAGAGCCCTGCATGACAAGATCAGCAGCAATTACACAAACATGTTAGACACAAATATTACAATCAAGGCAGAAACACACATTTTTTTTTGAAATACAAAACACAATTATAAACTAGAAAAGGTCATTTCCTGAAGTAAATGTGTGTGCCTTTGCTTTGTATTCTTGAAGTAGGCTGAAACGGATCAAGAGAAGTGGCAAATCCAAATGTTGCCTTTGAGGTCTATGGAGCTATTATGCAAATGTAAAATGGTTATAGTTCAAAATGTATAGATAGTGAAGGGTTGGCTGAGGACACACTTGATTGATCTTTACTTTAAAGGTCATATCAGGACATGTTCAGTATAACCTGTAATTTTCCATTCTGTACAAGCTGTAACTTTCTAATGAGTATGAAGCTGTATTTTCCCACTCAGATAATAAAATGGATTGTTAGTGCGGCCTATCTCTGCTGGACACTCGCCAGGCAATGCACTCACTTGTTTTTAAAATTATAACTTTGGGTGGTTGCTTATGGAGCCTCTTCCAGGCACCACCTCATTATATTCAATGTCATTCTGTGAATATTCCCTTTGAAACTGTTATCAGTCTCATATGACCCAATGTCTGTAATATTACATGTATACATCATTCAAAAAGACTATATAAACCCTGGTCTTTGAGCCATTTGGCTTAGCCATCTTAACAAATTGCATCGGGCGCCTGTTGGGACATGAAATACATTTTCAGGAACTTGATGACTGTCATCTGAATTGTCGCCTTTTAAACCGAATTCTACCCCCAAAGCCTTCAATAGTATCAAAAGCTTTTGACAAGCAATGTACAATGCATTCGGAAAGTATTCAGACCCTTTGAGTTTTTCCACATTTTGTTGCGTTACAGCCTTATTCTAAAATGGATAAAATAAAAATGTTTCCTCATCAATCTACACACAATACCCCATAATGACAAAGCGAAAACAGGTTTTTAGAACAGAAATACCGTATTTACGTAAGTATTCAGACTGTAAAATTAACTCTGTCCATAAGGTGTAGATAGTAAGTATAGACCGGAAGTAGAGGCCTGGGCGTTGTTGTTCACTAATTTACTCCAAGTAGGGAAAGGATGGTGGGGTTGAAAAGTAATAAAGGGGAATATATATATAAAAAATAAAAATAAACATGGGGGATTGGAAGTGATGCAGACAATTACATTGATAGAAGATACAATCTATCTGCAATATTAAGCTGATCCATTCCCCTTTAGATAAAAAAAAAAAAAAAAAATTATTCAGACCCTTTGCTAAGGACTCTCAGACCATGAGAAACAAGATTATCTGGTCCGATAAAACCAAGATTGAACTCTTTGGCCTGAATGCCAAGAGTCACGTCTGGAGGAAACCAGGCACCGCTCATCACCTGGCCAATACCATCCCTATGGTGAAGCATGGTGGTGGCAGCATCATGCTGTGGGGATGTTTTTCAGCGGCAGGAACTGGGAGACTAGTCAAGATCGAGGGAAAGATGAACAGAGCAAAGTACAGAGAGATCCTTGGCTTCATTTCTGGAGAGACCTGAAAATAGCTGTGCAGCGATGCTCCCCATCCAACCTGACAGAGCTTGAGAGGATCTGCAGAGAAGAATGGGAGAAACTCCCCAAATACAGGTGTGCCAAGAAGACTCGAGGCTGTAATCGCTACCAAAGGTGCTTCAACAAAGTACTGAGTAAAGGGTCTGAATACTTAAAATGTGATATTTCAGTGTTTTACTTTTAATACATTTGCAAAAATAAATCAAACAATTTAATCAATTTTAGAATAAGGCTGTAACGTAACAAAATGTGGAAAAAGTGAAGGGGTCTGAATACTTTCCGAATGCACTGTATGTTGAGTCAGTCTGCACATTTTAAAGTTGGTTTGGCATTTAAAGCTTAAACAGTACAAATGTTTACCATGTTAAAGCCCCCATGCAGTCTTTTTAATTGTATTTTTAAATCATCACTGTATGTCTAATACATCACTGTGGTTTATTTCATGAAAACAAACATTTATTTCCCTAAGCCTCCTTTTGCCATTGAAATGCTCAGTCTGTGGGCATGTTGATACAAATTGTAATATATGTACATGCACAGCCCTGATTGGCGGAGAGGATCATCTAGACCAGGGGTAGCCAACTAGATTCAGCCGCGGGCTGATTTTTGTGGGAGCGGATAGTCTGTTCCACAGCCCCCTGATGTCACAACTGCTCCGAAGCAGGTGGGCTTCAGACCCTCATCCAGACTGCTCTTGATGCTGGTCAGACCTGAGGGACCCGCCCCAATCACACACACATGCTGAGACATACTGTCCATCTGTCTGTCTGCAGAGGGTGGGAGACATAGGACAACACTATAGAAGGCAGATGTGACAGATACTCTAGTTCAGTTTCCACTGAGCCTACAGAGAAACCATTGCATCACCCCACAGATCCCTGTTATCGTTCCTCTGTCTGTACTGGCAGCTTAAACCAACAACTGTCCAACTCACTCTACCAACAGAATCACACCTGAGAAAATGTAGATAATTTCATAAACCTGAATAACAATGCAAACTAATCTGAATCAGTTGGCTGTCACCCATAGACTGTACTCACCTGGTTCAGTGAGTAGATCGAGAAACCTGTGTCTTGCCTGTATATACTACCTGTTTATTACCTGTTTGTTGCCTGTGCTCGCTGGTGTGGAAAACTTCTAAACTCCCAAAACCCAGGTTTTTGTGTAACCCCAGTCTGTAATGCAGTCAGTGGGAAGGACTTTGCTCCCTGTTAACTGGAACTCTGTCAGATTCAGGTCATAGTTTGGTAACCCACAGATAGCCCTTATCATGACTCCAATTCCATTGCATTACATTGGGTCATTCGACGCCCCATTCAGCCTTGTGAGTGAAATGCCCCGACGAAAATATGCCTTGCACAAGACACTCGCATTTGCAATTTAACTTTTCATATGAATGAGAAAGATTATTTCTCGCTGGTATGAAAGTTAAGATCCGAAGGTTTCCAAAACTGTATTGCAAGCAGATTATTGACGTTTCTAAACATTAAAAAACAGCGTCAGGATTGAAGTTCACATGGAGCCAGCTGGTCCATACCTTCAGCTGAGAACCCAAAAGGGGGGCCGGCTGTAAGCCCCCTTGGGTTCTCTAGAGCTGCTCCACAGTGTGCTTGTGGTGCTCCCCCCATTTTTTCCCATGTTAGATTTCAGTATGCATTCTTGGAATAACTGAATCTGTAATCTTTCAGGTCAAACTTTCTAATTCCTTGAGGATTTGAACTTTTCCCTAAGAGGCCTGCCCTGCACACATAGACTCTGACCAGTATATTAGCAGAGTAAAGAAAGTTCACAAATCAGGAAGTGAACTAAAAGCAGAGTAGGGAAGTGTCCTATAGGTCAGTGGTTCTCGGGGACCCTCAGACGTTTCGCAATTTTGTTGTAGCTCTGAACTAGCTCACCTAATTCAACTAGTCAAGGGCTTGATGATTAGTTGACAAGTTGAATCGGGTGTGCTTGCTCTGGAATAGATCAAATACATAGAACAGCTGGGGGTCCCCGAGGAGTGGTTTGAGAACCACTGCTATAGGTTAACCCTTTTTTGACATACTTAAATAACCCTGAGGGTTGTTACTAGCCTACAGAACTCAATTTCATCTACCTAAGGGAAGAAGCTGAAACTCATAAACATGAGGATGAACTCATCTCACCATCCACCATGTTACCTTCAACTTGTTTTGACAGAATCCTCTAGAAGGGGTGGACATGTAAGATAAAGTGCAGACCAGAATACTGGCAGCAGGGAATTATAATGTATTTATAAATGTTTATTTTCACACAGAAACTTTGTGAAGATCTTTATGGTGTGAGGTGAGGTATAGCCGCATTAAAGGTTTGCCTTCTACCCAGTTTGCCTTTCACATACGGTTATCATACACACAGTCCAGTTACAGTATATTCTTTGATGGTCTTAACTCTTTACCAGTAATAAACTTCACAGCAAAGGAATGGATCTGAGAATGATGTTTGTAGATCATGTAGTACAGAAGAGGAAGTGGGGAGGGGGTGGTGTTCAGGTCGTATTCAGGTTTTCTGGGTGTTGTTAAGAGAGGCGAGGAGGGGGTGGAGGAGGGGTGTGGCTGTGGGTAGACGTTGAAGGGTTTGGGTGAGAGGAGTGTCGAATTAAAGCTCTCTGGGGGGTTAGGGTGAGAGGAGGATGTTGTTCAGGCTGTCCGGGGCTGAGGTTGGAGATGAGGGGCGTAAGAGAGAAGGGGGGATGGGAGGAGAGGAGGGAAGTGAGGGAGGAGGAGGGTTAGGGTGAGAAGAGGGTGGTGTTCAGGGTCAGGCATGAACACAAACAGCATAGTATAAGTATCTCTTCAATATCAATATAAACTTCTATTTGTTTAGTTTGATTATATCTTAAATACAAATATACAGGTAACTGCCAAAATAATGGAAACACTTGAGTAAATGAGGGATACAAAGTATATTGTAAACAGGTGTGGTTCCTGAGTTAATTAGGCAATTAACATCCCATCATGCTTAGGGTCAATTATTTTGGCCATTATTTTGCCTACCATGGCTATGCCCCATAGGATGACAATGCCCCCATCCACAGGGCACGAATGGTCACTGAATGGTTTGATGAGCATGAATCGATGTAAACCATATGCCAGAGGAGGAAGGGGAGGACCATCCTACTCAGTGTTCATTTTTAAATAAAACTATACTAAATATATTCACGTCACCAAATAACTGATTAAAACACACTGTTTTGCAATGAAGGTCTATCTCCCGAGTGGCGCAGTGGTCTAAGGCACTGCATCGCAGTGCTAACTGTGCCACTAGAGATCCTGGTTCGAATCCAGGCTCTGTCGTAGCCGGCCGCGACCGGGAGACCCATGGGGCGGCGCGCAATTGGCCCAGCGTCGTCCAGGGTAGGGGAGGGAATGGCTGGCAGGGATGTAGCTCAGTTGGTAGAGCATGGCGTTTGCAACGCCAGGGTTGTGGGTTCGATTCCCACAGGGGGTATGAAAAATAATAATGTATGCACTAAACTGTAAGTCGCTCTGGATAAGAGCGTCTGCTAAATGACGTAAATGTAATGTAAATGTATAGTAGCCTCAACAGCACTGTACGGTAGCACCAGGGTGTAGCCGGAGGACATTTATTTTCCATCCTCCTCTGGGTACAAAACCTAGAAGGCTCATTGTTCTCACCCCCTTCCATAGACTTACACAGTAATTATGATGACTTCCGGTGGATGTCCTCCAACCTATCAGAGCTCTTTCAGCATGAACTGACATGTTGTGAATCCAATCAAAGGATCAGAGAATTAATCTAGTACTGAAAGCATAAGCTACAGCTAGCTAGCACTGCAGTACATAAAATGTGTTGAGTAGGTGACTCAATGAGAGAGAAAGACAATAGTTGAACAGTTTTGAACACATTTCTTCAAAAATAAAGGTGAAGAAACAGAGAGAGAGACATTTTGTAGTATTGTTTAAACGTTCACTTACGCTAGCTAATGCAGCTAATTTAGCCTATTCAACAACCTGACTCAAACGGATAGGAATTATATTTATGTTAGCTCGCTGGCTAAGGCTATCCAACAGTCTTTGCTTTTGGTTTTATTAATTTATTGCCACTGGGACCCGCCGGTGTAACTGCTGTTCACATGGATTGGATTGTGGGTTTACTAAAGCGTTACTATAGTCGCTATGTTGACTACAACGTTAGCTAATATGGTGACAACGATGTAGGCTGTGTGTAGCGGTTATGGTATGACGTTATTCTTTTTTGCCTGGTCACAGACAGCTGTTGTGTTGTGCACTGAAGTCCACAAGTGAAGGGAAAATGTGAGAGGAGGATAGCGCATAGATGCTGTTTGTATGGCTGCTATGAAAGTGAACTGTGTGTGCGGGTGATCAGGGGTGTATTCATTCCACCAATTCTGTTGCAAAAAGTTTATTAAACGGAAGCAAATGGATAGAAAATGAGAATGGACCTAACTGAATTTGTCCGATAGAAACTTGTTTTAGTTGCAAAACATTACATAATGTTTTGCAACTGTTTGGACTAATGATTAAACCCTAGATCAGCTAGATTCAGGCAAGTGTGTGCAAGGCGGTATTGAATGTTTCACTGTCTGTCAACTTGATTACCGGTACTCCAATTTGTCTCTCGACCAGTGCACCTACGTTATAAACTTTCATTTGTAGGCTAGGTTGTAACAACCTCATGATGGGTATAGGGCAAATTTGAGTATCATGTAGTAGCCTAAACCTATCAACGTTACATTAAGCTGAGTGAATAGAATATGAATGACAGTCATCCAATAGGCTGTAACAGAAATAAGGCCATGCTCATAAAAAAAATTAAATCGTCTTCCCTAATCTTAAACGGCACTGACCGTTTAAGAGTATGATAGGGTGATACGGTGTGTGTATGTGAGCATGTGTGTTTCTGTGTGTGTGTATGTGCTTATGCGTATGTATATTTGTTGATGTGTGTGTGTGTGTGTCCACCTTACTCCAGTCCTCAAACAACACACTGGAGCCTCTGATCTGTTGGACAATGGGTTTGACCACGAATCCACCGGTCAAGATCTTATTGGGAAGCTCATCGTTGATCACTGGAATCTGACTGAACAACCTAGAAGAGAGGAGAGGATGTATACATGTATTACACACACACACAATGTACGCCCTCAAACCCAAACACAGGTAAGTCCACCATGTGTGTGTGCATATGGTGTTGTCATATATGGCGTTGAGTTTCTTCTCTCCGAACCAGCTGAGCCAGTTGGCAATGGGACAATCTGAATTTGACCCTGTATCAGTGGTTACCTGCTCAGAATCTGACCCTCTATCAGTTGTTAGTTACCTGCTCGGCCACCCGGCTGGACTCCACAGCGATGTCTCCTCCAGAGTTGCTGATGCCGATCACCACCACCCTCTTCCCATGGAGGTCCTCTGGACCCTTATAGTCCTGTGAAAGTACTTCCCCTCAAACAACTCATTACCTGAAACACACACAGTAGAGCATCCCAATCTATTATTATATTGGTACAGTCAGAAGATAATTGTCTCAGCTCTGAGAATGGTTCAATTAGTTTTTTCTTGCCATAGTGCTAACTGCTTGCGCTAGGGGTCTAGGCCAGGTTATTGTAAAGCACTTTGTTACAAAAATTAGATTTATATTTGCTGATTGGTTGAGTGATTCATACTGCTGACCTGGGAAGTCTCAGTGGTAGGTGTGGGAGGAGTAGTGACCAGAGCAGACGATGACAGAGTCAAACATGTGTCTCTCCTCTTGTCTCTCCCTGTTCTCTGTCACCACCTCCCACTGGCCTGAACGACTGAAGTCTGGCCTCTGTCTCACACTCCACACGCTGGTCTGAAACACACACGCGAGCATGCATGCATGCACACACACACACACACAAAATCAACCAACCTTGAACCCACCAACCAACCCATTATTCCCCATAATTTTGTCTGTAAAGTCACCCTGCTGTTACCTGGAAGTGGATGTGCTGGAGCAGTTTGAGGTTTTCATCATAGAGCCTAAAGTACTGCAGGATACAGGAGTGGTGCATGTAGTTGGGGTAGTCAGCTGGGATGGGGAAGTCGCTGAAACACATCATCTCCTTGGAGATATTGATGGTGAAGGAACGGTAGATACTGGCTCTGTTGGGCTCAGAAACTTCCTGGAAGGAGGCACACAGGCTTTAGTCATAGCGCTGTCATAATATGATCATCAATAGCCATATGATCATCTGATAACTGACTGCTCCCTCGTGCTTACATAATAAATACGATCCCAGTGATTCCTCCAGTTTTATTACCCACTCTCTGTGAGCAGATTAGGTCAACTGAAACATGGGACTGTCTCACCTATTTATACTCATTATATTATGTTAGCTGCACTAGGCACAACAGTGTGGTAACTATAGATCGAACATCGATTTGGAGGTTGAGGGTCCGTCATGGTCTGGGCGGTGTGTCACAGCATCATCGGACTGAGCTTGTTGTCATAGCAGGCAATCTCAATGCTGTGCGTTACAGGGAAGACATCCTCCTCCCTCATGTGGTACCCTTCCTGCAGGCTCATCCTGACATGACCCTCCAGCATGACAATGCCACCAGCCATACTGCTCGTTCTGTGCGTGATTTCCTGCAAGACAGGAATGTCAGTGTTCTACCATGGCCAGTGAAGAGCCCGGATCTCAATCCCATTGAGCACGTCTGGGACCTGTTGGATCAGAGGATGAGGGCTAGGGCCATTCCCCCCAGAAATGTCCGGGAACTTGCAGGTGCCTTGGTGGAAGAGTGGGGTAACATCTCACAGCAAGAACTGGCAGATCTCGTGCAGTCCATGAGGAAGAGATGCACTGCAGTACTTAATGCAGCTGGTGGCCACACCAGATACTGACTGTTACTTTCGATTTCTGTCGCTGTAGTAGCTGACGTGTATATTGTTGAGTCATCCGCATACATAGACACACTGGCTTTACTCAAATCCAGTGGCATGTCGTTAGTAAAGATTGAAAAAAGTAAGGGGCCTAAAGAACTGCCCTGGGGAATTCCTGATTCTACCTGGATTATGTTGGAGAGGCTTCCATTAAAGAACTCCCTATGTGTTCTGTTAGACAGGTAACTCTTTATCCACAATATAGCAGGGGGTGTAAAGCCATAACACATTCGTTTTTCCAGCAGCAGACTATGATCGATAATGTCAAAAGCCGCACTGAAGTCTAACAAAACAGTCCCCACAATCTTTGTATCATCAATTTCTCTCAGCCAATCATCAGTCATTTGTGTAAGTGCTGTGCGTGTTGAATGTCCTTCCATATAAGCGTGCTGAAAGTCTGTTGTCAATTTGTTTACTGTAAAATAGCATTGTATCTGGTCAAACACCATTTTTTCCAAAAGTTCACTAAGGGTTGGTAACAGGCTGATTGGTCGGCTATTTGAGCCAGTAAAGGGGGCTTTACTATTCTTGGGTAGCGGAATTATTTTTGCTTCCCTCCAGGCCTGAGGGCACACACATTCTAGTAGGATTAAATTGAAGATATGGCAAATAGGAGTGGCAATATCGTCCACTATTATCCTCTGTAATTTTCCATCCAGGTTGTCAGACCCACGTTGATAGACAACAACACTTTTTTTCATCTCTTCCACACTCACTTTACAGAATTCAAAAATACAATGCTTGTCTTTCATAATTTGGTCAGATATACTTGGATGTGTACTGTCAGCTTTTGTTCCTGGCATGGCATGTCATGCCTAACTTTGCTAATCTTGCCAATGAAAAAATCATTAAAGTAGTTGGCAATATCAGTGGGTTTTGTGATGAAAGAGCCATCTGATTCAATGAATGATGGAGACGATTTTGCATTTTTGCCAAACATTTCATTTAAAGAGCTCCAAAGCTTTTTACTATCTTTATATAATTTATTTTTGTTTCATAGTATAGCTTCTAGGATAGTTAAGCATACACCGATTAAACCCCCTGGTTTTCTGAGAAATCTTTAGAAATATTAGGACATGTAAACACCTTAATCGGCGTTCCAGCGGTGTGTTTGATCTGCACATGTGCCCGCATCGGTAGCCCACACCTCCCTCTTTAGTGCGAGTGAAGTGAGTTCGGAACAACTGAATGTATGCATCTTAGAAGTAGTTTTCACATACAAACTTTATATGTCCGAACTCAGAATCAAATATGCTTCCCAAAAATAACATTGTCGCTGTAGAACATTTATTTTGATTGGCGATTTTCTGCATTTATCAGAGTGCCATCAGGTAGCCTGATTTCAGATGTGTCCATGTAAACAGAATGATTAGGGAAATCATTTTTCTTGCAAAGCATGAAATGTTTTAATCAAACTATTATATTAAATCTGACTATCCACAATAATCGCATTATTGTGTGCATGTAGCCTTATTCATTTACTCCAATGTAAATTATGCACATTTTAAATGGTTATAGATCAAAAACTACTCCTGAGTGGCGCAGTGGTCTAAGGCACTGCATCGCAGTGCTAACTGTGCCACTAGAGATCCTGGTTCGAATCCAGGCTCTGTCGCAGCCGGCCGCGACCGGGAGACTCATGGGCGGCGCACAATTGGCCCAGGGTAGGGGAGGGAATGGCCGGCAGGGATGTAGCTCAGTTGATAGAGCATGGCGTTTGCAACGCCAGGGTTGTGGGTTCGTTTCCCACGGGGGGCCAGTATAAAAAAAAAGTATATATATATATATATATATATATGTATTCACTAACTGTAAGTCGCTCTGGATAAGAGCGTCTGCTAAATGACTTAAATGTAAAAAGTATATACCGTATCAAAATACTGTACGCAGACAACCATTTCAATGTTGGTTTGGAAGCAGATCTAATTAGTGTTTTTTGTAAGACAATGAAAGCAGTCTGTTAGGTCAGATAGAGCCTGATCCACAGTGGAGGAAATAGAGTATTAGTGTTGATCCTAGATATGTTCCTATAAAGACTGCTTCTACTCCTTGCCCCCCAGTAGTGCTGAGAATCAGTCCAGCAGGTGAGCTGGGTACTGTAGAGCTGAGGTCAGATTACACTGGGAGATGACGACAGCTAGCATCACAGCTCCCCCAGACAAGGTGATCAGCCAGGGAGACAGGCGGGCCCAGGGCCTGGGGGGCACTGTTACCAGCCTGGAATAGAATAGAAGGTGATATTCTATTGATCCCGAAGGGGATATTGGTATGACTGACTTCTAGGCTACCTACCTGGTCCTAAAGGGCTGGGCCACCCGCTCCCACTGAGTGAGGATGGCCTGTCGGGCCCCATCCCACTGTCCTGGCCCTCTCAGACGGTACTGGTACGGGGTGCAGGGCCCCAGAAGCACACGAAGCCCCACACCAAGCTCCCTCAGCAGCAGCCCTAGGAGGTTGGGATGAGTCCATGTATGGCATATAATCCATCTGGAGAGGATTACGCTCCGAACAGGCAAACCTGGAGGGAGAGGGAGGGGAGACACACACAGGTGCTTGTATAGTGCTTATAAATCATTATGAAATAGTTTGTTACCTATTAGTGAACTATTTGTGTTAGTGTAATATCACATGGCTGTTGTCCCACCTGTGTTGCATGGTACTGGTGTCTTTCTCTATGTCCTGCAGCATGGTCTCTTTTTTGCTTTCTTGAGTAAGGCAGCTCCAAAAAAGGGGATTCTTCCTAGCTCAGTGCTTTCTGTGGTGTTGGGGCAGCCAGCGGAAAATACGGAGCATAGGGGTTGGTAATGTTCTCTAGTTGCGCCGTGATTGGCTCAGTGTTCTGTCACTCATGGGGACACTACGTCACAGCAAATTCTACGGGGAGAGCTTGAAAATTCAAGCCCCTTGGGTGCTGCCATAGAGTTACATTAGAAGTGCCCATCTAAGAAGGCTCAAGGTCATTGGCCACAGATAAAATGACGTCAAATCACATTATATCTACCATAGCTTTGATTGGACTGATCATGTCAACATCATACTTTCAAAATCTTAGCTAGCAAACAGTCATCATCATGAATCACGTCGACAATCTACTGGCAAATCCTTTTCAGTCCTTGTCATATGAAGAGAAATTATAGATAAAACGTATCAGTGATCATTGGCCATTGGACATAAACATTACACAACAAGTTGGAAATCGCAAATTCAACAATGAGTGGTTTTTGGAAGGAATCAGTGACTAACTGCAAGTGTTGCAAAGCAATCACTAGCCTGCTATTCAGTGGAGTGGGTGTGTGGTCCAAGTCTGGGTTTAAGGGTATCTTTTCCAAGTTTAAAAGGATAAACATTCACATGCCATGGGCCAGAAAAGGTTGAATACATTGGCCATGCTGTCAATCCAGCATGACTTCTGCCGCGTTCAAAACAACTGGAAACTCGGAACTGGGAAATCTCAGACATCAGTGAGTTCAATACAACTGGGACCTCGGAAAAAAACAAGCTCTGACTGGAAAAATAAGTTTTGAACGGTCATCCAACTCGGAATTCCAAGTCGGGAACTTGGGCCTCTTTCTAGAGCTCCGACCTAAAGATCACTGACGTCATGATTCAACGTTGTTTTCTTCTGAGTTCCCTGTTGTCTTGAAAGCGCCAAAAATCCAGAGAATGCTAGACTTTGATGACAACATTTACCCACTAGGACCACCGCGCCACCTTCCTGTTCAAGTGAGAACAGCACAACAAGGTGAGTCCAAAAATGTATTGTATGCTGCTGCTGCATAAATTATGTAATATGCCAGGGAGATATGTATACTGTAGCTAAGAAATTAATACTAAGTGTATAGTGGCTTACGAAAGTATTCACCCCCCTTGGCATTTTTCTTATTTTGTTGCCTTACAACCTGTAATTAAAATTGATTTTGGGGGGTTTGTATCATTTGATTTACACAACATGCCTACCACTTTGAAGATGCAAAATATTTGTTATTGTGAAACAAACAAGAAATAAGACAAAAAAACAGAGAACTTGAGCGTGCATAACTATTCACCCCCCCCAAAGTCAATACTTTGTAGAGCCACCTTTTGCAGCAATTACAGCTGCAAGTCTCTTGGGGTATGTCTCTATAAGCTTGGCACATCTAGCCACTGGGATTTTTTCCCATTCTTCAAGGCAAAACTGGTCCAGCTCCTTCAAGTTGGATGGGTTCCGCTGGTGTACAGCAATCTTTAAGTCATAGCACAGATTCTCAATTGGATTGAGGTCTGGGCTTTGACTAGGCCATTCCAAGACATTTAAATGTTTCCCCTTAAACCACTCAAGTGTTGCTTTAGCAGTATGCTTAGGGTCATTGTCCTGCTGGAAGGTATACCTCCGTCCCAGTCTCAAATCTCTGGAAGACTGAAACAGGTTTCCCTCAAGAATTTCCCTGTATTTAGCGGCATCCATCATTCCTTCAATTCTGACCAGTTCCCAGTCCCTGCCGATGAAAAACATCCCCACAGCATGATGCTGCCACCACCATGCTTAACTGGTGATGGTGTATTGTTTTGTGGTAATTTCTTTTAATAAATGTATTTTTTATTTTTTTTGTCATTTAGCAGACACTCTTATCCAGAGCGACTTACAGGAGAAATTAGGGTTAAGTGCCTTGCTCAAGGGCACATCGACAGATTTTTCACCTAGTCGGCTCTGGGATTAGAACCAGCGACCTTTCGGTTACTGGCAAAAACGCTCTTAACCACTAAGCTACCTGCCGCCCCGTGTTCTCGGGGTGATGAGAGGTGTTGGGTTTGCGCCAGACATAGCGTTTTCCTTGATGGCCAAAAAGCTCAATTTTAGTCTCATCTGACCAGAGTACCTTCTTTCATATGTTTGGGGAGTCTCCCACATGCCTTTTGGCGAACACCAAACGTGTTTGCTTATTTCTTTCTTTAAGTAATGGCTTTTTTCTGGCCACTCTTCTGTAAAGCCCAGCTCTGTGGAGTGTATGGCTTAAAGTGGTCCTATGGACAGATACTCCAATCACCGCTGTGGAGCTTTGCAGCTTCTTCAGGGTTATCTTTGGTCTCTTTGTTGCCTCTCTGATTAATGCCCTCCTTGCCTGGTCAGTGAGTTTTGGTGGGCGGCCCTCTCTTGGCATGTTTGTGGTGGTGCCATATTCTTTCAATTTTTTAATAATGGATTTAATGGTGATCCGTGGGATGTTCAAAGTTTCAGATATTTTTTTATAACCCAACCCTAATCTGTACTTCTCCACAACTTTGTCCCTGACCTGTTTGGAGAGCTCCTTGGACTTCATGGTGCCGCATGCTTGGTGGTGCCCCTTGCTTAGTGGTGTTGCAGACTCTGGGGCCTGTCAGAACAGGTGTATATATACTGAGATCATGTGACACTTAGATTGCACACAGGTGGACTTTATTTAACTCATTATGTGACTTCTGAAGGTAATTGGTTGCACCAGATCTTATTTAGGGGCTTCATAGCAAAGGGGGTGAATACATATGCAAGCACCACTTTTCCGTAATTTATTTTGTAGAATTTTTTGAAACAAGTAATTTTTTTCATTTCACTTCACATATTTGGACTATTTTGTGTATGTCCATTACATGAAATCCAAATAAAATTCCATTTAAATTACAGGTTGTAATGCAATAAAATAGGAAACATGCCAAGGGGGATGAATACTTTTGCAAGGCACTGTATGTTGTGTAGTAAGCTGTTAGTAGCCCATGTGCCTCAACCTAATAATTTGGTCCCTTTCCACCTCATAACTTCATTGAATATTGTAAGAGCTTTCATTGTCTGCTTGTATGCACCCTTTATTTATCCTACGGTTCTGACTTGGTTTACAGGGAGAATACTGTAAGAATGGCCCATGTTCTGAATTCTGTCGCTGTACATTTCAAAAGTGCTGAACAAATAGTTATATTGACTATGTCCGTCCTAGCTCACTCAATGTCTTAATCGAAATTACGGATTGCCTCTTATCCGCTTGTCGTCCCCTTATGCCATAGTTTGTACATCTCAATTGTCAGTAGAAACCACATTTGTTTAAGCAAGTCAGCCATATCAGCTATGTTTTTTTAAAAGGCAGTAAATGAAGCTGAATGAACTGTTTCGCTGCCAGACAAGGCTCCGCTGATAGCCAGGTGTAGCAGTGGTAAGGATTCACTGTTGGGACAGCTTTATGTAGGCCATAACAGTTTGTGGGCACCGTTTGTCACCGTTATAGTGCAAATAATGTATTGTTTAGTGTTGTGTAGTGGCTTTGCTGGCATGCATCTAAACCATTATTTTTTTTGCCCCACTAAGATTTACATGCTACAATCGCCACTGCACACTAGCACTTTTTCTGCAAAGAGAAAATACAATATGGTTGCAGAAGGCAAAAACTGTTTCCCCCCCCGGCATAACACCTGCCTAATTGTCCCCCACGATGAAATCAGGGGGGGAGGGACTATGGATCTGTCTTGGTACGTTAGTCACATGCGATATCTCAGACACCACTGGCCCGATTTTGACGAGATTTGGGTGAATGATGTGTCTTGCCATAGAGATCCGGCATTTACTAAATTACACTGATTGGCCCAAGGGTGGAGCTATAGTAATCAACTGAAATACCTAACTTTGAACAAGCATATCTCCTGTCCCGTTTGAGCTACAGTCATGACATTTTGTACATACAGTATATGCATCTCCTCATGAGAAACACGTTTCTCCATAAGGATCTATAAGCTTTGCCCATTCACAAAAGGTGAACATTTTGAAAGGGTGTGTTAGCAGGGAAAAACGACTGCCACCTCTCGTTGAAGCGACAGAAGTTCAAATCTGACTGCGGTACTGCAGGCATTGTTTGCAGAAAACAGGTTGCCCATTATAGTGTATGGAAAAATGTCAATCTTCGTGGTCAATCTTTGTGTGAATATATATTTTTTAAAGACAATCATGGTACCAATAATTGGTTCTAGGACACCAGATGTATGTCCTTGAACTGATTATTTTAAAATCGCACACAGAAGAAGTTATAAGGACAATTTAGTTGTTAATGGCAGCCTGCAGTACCCCGGTCGGCCTTCAACCGGAGTTACTCAATGAGAGAGGCAGCACTGAGCTAGCCTGCAATGTCACTTCCTGGAGTAGCTCAAACTGCGCATGTTATGTCTCCGTGAGACGCCATCTTAACCAACTTCATTTGGCTTCAATGCTCTATTGAGTCTTCACATAGGAATGAATGGTGTTACGTGATCAACGGCTTTGTCCATTCATACAGTATATACAGTCATTGGTGTGTAGACTATTTATAGGCACTGTAATTCCATACAGACACCACTGGCCCAGTTTTGACGAAACTTCGTTGAATGATGTGTCTCGTCGTGGTGGACGACATGTTTACTGTTGCCTTGTTCTCACTTGAAACATAGTTTTTGTTATTAACATTCTGTTAATATCGGACTCCAGAGTGATCTGTTCTTGCAATTTTTTGTCTGTCGAATTTCAGATTTAGATATGATATAATTCTTCACAAAGTAGTTTGGATGTAGTGAACTACTTTTTTAAAGAAACTTTAGTTAGCTATATTTTTCTTAAGGATAGCTTTAGTGTAGCTTAACTTCTTCCAGTGTGAAGTAATTGGTAGCTTGGTAAACTATATTTTTAGAGTAGCTTCCCCAACACTGTTAGTGAGGGAGTTAGTTATTTGTTACCTTTAAAGACCCTGGTGGCCCAGCGGGCCTGCATCTCTGCCAGAGGGTTGATGGCTCCCAGGCCGTGAATGAAGCCCACTACAGCCAGAGTGGGCCGGGTGAGCCCCGGGGGGAAGACATGACGGTACAGAGACAGGCGGTGACCACTCTTAGCCCGCAGAGATGAAGGCCGGAAGTGAAAGTCATAATTGTAGCCGGTGGCAAACACCACAACATCCACCTAGGAAGGAGAGGAGAGGGGAGGGGAGGGGAGGTGAGGAGGGAGGAGAGAGTGTGTGTGTTTTTGTGTGTTTTTGTGTGTGTTTACATTGTCCACAACGCTCCCGTCCTCAAACACCACACTGGAGCCTCTGATCTCCCTGGTTTGACCAGAACACGACCAGAGATGATTCGACCAGGCAGGTCATCATTCACCACCGGGATCTGGGCAAAGAACCTGAAATAGATGGATGGATTGCTCAATCAGTCAGTCAGCCAGTCAAATCAAATCAAATTTCATTTGTCACATGCTTCGTAGACAACAGGTGTAGACTAACAGTGAAATGCTTACTTACGGATAATTTTTCCAACAATGCAGAGTTAAAGATAAGATTAAAAAAAATAAGAGCAAGAATAACATGGCTACATATAGGGAGTATATTAGGTTTTAGTCAAACATTATATCTGTTTGGGCTTCTTGCAGTCAATTTGCAGTCTACAAATTATTTTTAATTATAAACTGGGTGGTTCAAGCCCTGAATGCTGATTGGCTGACAGCTACGGTATATCAGACCGTATTCCACAGGTATGACAAAACATTTATTTTTACTGCTCTAATTACGTTGTTAACCAGTTTATAATAGCAATAAGGCAAGGCACCTCAGGGGTTTGTGGTATATGGCCAATATACCACGGCTAAAGGCTGTATCCGCGTTGCGTCGTGCATAAGAACAGCCCTTAGCCGTGGTATATAGATGGCGCCGACAGACATGGCAGCTCTGATTTTAGCTCCTAAGCAACTTTGCAGTATTTAGTTTTTTTGTGTGTTATTTCTTACATAATTAGCCTAGAACTTTTTTTGTGTTCTTACATACAGCCAGAAATAACTTTTGGATATCAGAGCGATGGTAACTCGACCAGAAATACGACTTTCCCGAATTGGATCCTTTGTTCGTACCCCCCAGGGCAATTTAACTTATCCCAGTGGCTGCTCCAAGCCGCCGCCGGCGGAGAAGAGTTATTCAGAGTGGACATCCGAGTATATTACTCGCTAATGTTCAGTCCCTGGACAATAAAGTAGACGAGCTCAGAGTGAGGATCTCCTTCCAGAGAGACATCAGGGACTGTAACATCCTCTGTTTCATGGAATCATGGCTCTCTCCGGTTATACTGTCCCCTTCCATTCAGCCTGCTGGGTTCTCAGTACATTGCGCAGACATGAATAAAGAACTCTCAGGGAAGAAGAAAGGCGGTGGTGTATGTTTCATGATTAACTACTCATGGAGTGATTGTGATAACGTACAGGAACTCAAGTCCTTTTGTTCAACCGACCTAGAATACCTCACAGTCAAATGCTGACCGTATTAACTCCCAAGAGAATTCTCTTCGGTTATAGTCACAGCCGTGTATATTCCCCCTCAAGCCGATACCACGACGGCCCTCAAGGAACTACATTGGACTTTGTGCAAACTGGAAACCACATATCCTGAGGCCGCATTTATTGTATCTGGGGATTTTAACAAAGCACTTTTGATGAAAACGTTACCGAAGTTCTATTAACACATTGCCTGTAGTACTCGCACATCAAAAACTCAACCATTGTTCCTCCCCCTTCCGGGATGGCTACAAGGCCCTACCCCACCCTCCCTTCGGCAAATCAGATCACAACTCAATCCTGCTCCTCCCTTCCTATAGGCAGGAACTCAATCAGGAAGTACCAGTGCTAAGGTCTACTCAACGCTGGCCTGACCAATTGGAATCCATGCTTCAAGATTGTTTTGATCACGCGGACTGGGATATGTTCTGGGTTGCCTCTGAGAATAACATTGACGTATACACGGACACAGTGACTGAGATTAGCAGGAAGTGTATAAGGGATGTTGTTCCGACTGTGATTATTAAAACCTACCCAAACCAAAAACCGTGGATAGATGACAGCATTCGCACGAAACTGAAAGCGCGAACCACCGCATTTAACCACGGCAAGGTGACTGGGAATATGGTCGAATACAAAGTGTAGTTATTCCCTCCGTAAGGCAATCAAACAGGCAAAACGTCAGTACAGAGACAAAGTGGAGCCGCAATTTAACGGCTTAGAACGAGACGCATGTGGCAGGGTCTACAGACAATCACAGATTACAAAGGGAAAACCAGCCACATTGTGGATACCGATGTCTTGCTCCCAGACAAGCTAAACACATTCTTCACCTGCTTTGAGGATAAAACAGTGCCACCGACGTGGCCCGATCCCAAGGACTGTGGGCTCTTGTTCTCCGTGGCTGACATGAGTGAGACATTTAAGCCTGTTAACCCTCGCAAGGCTGCCGGCCCAGACGGCATCCCTAGCGCGTCCTCAGAGCATGCGTAGACCAGCTGGCTGGAGTGTTTACGGACATATTCAATCTCTCCCTATCCCAGTCTGCTGTCCCCACTTGCTTCAAGATGTCCACCATTGTTCCCGTACCCAAGAAAGCAAAGGTAACTGAACTAAATGACTATCGCCCCGTAGCACTTACCTGACATCATGAAGTGCTTTGAGAGGCTAGTTAAGGTTCATATCACCTCCACCTTACCTGACACTCTAGACCCACTTCAATTTGCATACCGCCCCAATAGATCCACAGACGATGCAATCGCCATCGCACTGCACACTGCCCTATCCCATCTGGACAAGAGGAATACCTATGTAAGAATGCTGTTCATTGATTATAGCTCAGCCTTCAACACCATAGTACCCTCCAATTTCATCATCAAGCTGTCGTGACTTAACATTAATCTGATGACGGTTATTTATCTAATTAACTAACTATGTTTAATTAATCATATAACAATTAACTCATTATGATTTGGGGCACCACGGAATAAGTTGTTTAACGAGTTACCATCTCCCGAATTAAACTCTAGAAGATATATAGATATCTATTACGTCAATAACAGCCACTTATTAATCATTACCTCATATCATATCATACTGAACATCGCATACTCCTTGCATCTGCACAAACCCCAGCTTTACTGATCATTCCGTACCACACAAATTGATTTAATTATTTATTTACTAACTAACTAAATGATAACACAGGATACAAACCCCAGCTTTACTGATCATTCCGTACCACACAAATTGATTTAATTATTTATTTACTAACTAACTAAATGATACACAGGATACACACACACACACACACACACACACACACGGTATAGGTTATTGATTAGAAACCTAATACGATGGAAACAGGTCCCTAGCGGACTAACAACATGACTGCTTGTTTACCAGAAGAGGGAGGCGTAGAGAGCGAGAAAGAAAGAGAGACACAACACTTATAGATTTGGAAACTACACTCACATGAATTATAATACTTTGCACACTAACCGCCGCCCGTTTGAGGTAAGAAATCATGAATGTATTTACGTGTTTGAATATCTTCCTTCGTCGTTTCTCTGTTGGACCCAAGTCCTCTCGGAAAGGTTTCAGTTGGCCTTCTTCCTCCAAACTTTGAGTGTAGGGCTCTGATTATCCACAAGAGGTCACAATGTCTTTCTTCTTTGTCGTCTGTGGCTTCAATGACTGGTCATGTAGTCTGGGCAGACCAACAGGGTGGTGTTTTCCTTTCACTCATTCTGAAAGAGTGGTCCTCCGAAGACAGCTAATCAGCCATGTCGATGATCTCCAGTGGGGTGATGAGAGCAGTGTAGTAGACGATGGTTTGAAAAGAGTAACAGGATGTTCCTACTTCAATTCACTTTCTTAGATACAGTAATTAGGACAGCTACTCAGCTGTAACATTGATAGTTAGAGAGGCGACTTTGTCGTCGTCACCTCGTGTTGATTTTCAGGGTTGTAACCAATGAAGACCTAAGCTGCAGCTTGAGTCCTTCTGGTCTGATACGTTAATTCTTAACTCATCTTTTCATACACTCTAGTTAAAAGGGGGCATTCTGCCATGTGACCACACTCTCTTGGCTCCCTCGGGTGTGGCTAATTACTTGTGCAAAGCATTCTCAAATCTATGATCTCGTTAGAAAACTAAAATCACATTCCTAGCTTAACAAAATTACTCTCATCATTCTTCAGATTTCATATACAACATAAAAGATTAAACTTTACATATATAGTGGGTATACTTTTCAAGTTACAGTATTTTCCTGTTACTAGTTTAAATGACATCACAAAATAACAACCCATATGACATGATCATTCTTTAGATCCCCACTGACCATTCCCCACGTCCTTCTGTTCTGAATATTGTTCCGGTATTCCCCTTTTGGACGTTAGAGTTTTAGGCGTGAAAAGTCTCTGGAGACAAAAGGCATTCCTTTAGCCAATACTGGAGGTCAGGAAAGAATCTTCTCCTGCATAAAATTTACGACAGGGTGTGAAGTGTCATTAACCCCCACACCAATCCCTCCTCCCCTCTGCGGGTGAGAGGGGCCTGGTAGAAGTTTATCCATTGTAAACCTGATCTGGCCATTTGCAACCAGAACAGGACAGTCATGACAAAGCGCGAGGCCCTGGGTCTGAACCCCGCCCTGTGCAACTGGGTCCTGGACTTCCTGACGGGCCGCCCCCAGGTGGTGAAGGTAGGAAACAACACCTCCACTATGCTGATCCTCAACACAGGGGCCCCACAAGGGTGCGTGCTCAGCCCCCTCCTGTACTCCCTATTCACTCATGACTGTGTGGCCACGCTCACCTCCAACTCAATTATCAGGTTTGCAGACGACACAACAGTAGTAGGCCTGATTCCCAACAATGACGAGACAGCCTACCCTGGCGGAGTGGTGCCAGGAAAATAACCTCTCCCTCAACGTCAACAAAACGAAGGACCTGGATTTCAGGAGACTGCAGTGGGAGCATGCCCCTATCCACATTGATGGGACCGCAGTGGAGAAGGTAAAAAACTTTAAGTTCCTCGGAGTACACTAACAATCTGAAATGTTCCACCCACACAGACAGTGTGGGGAAGAAAGCGCAACAGCGCCTCTTCAACCTCAGGAGGCTGAAGAAATTCATCTTGGCCCCTAAGTCCCTCACAAACCTTTACAGATGCACAATTGAAAGCATCCACAGGGCTCTCCAGAGGGTGGTGCGGTCTGCCCAACGCATCCCCGGGGGCACACTGCCTGCCCTCCAGGACACTTACAGCACCCGATGTCACAGGAAGGCCAAAAGGATCATCAAGGACATCAACCACCCGAGCCACGGCCTGTTCACCCCGCTATCATCCAGAAGGTGAGGTCAGCACAGGTGCATCAAAGCTGGGACCGAGAGACTGAAAAACAGCTTCTATCTCAAGGCCATCAGACTGTTATATAGCCATCACTAGCTGGCTACCACCGGGTTACTCAAACCTGCACCTTAGAGGCTGCTGCCCTATGTACAGTGCCTTGCAAAAGTATTCATCCCCCTTGGCGTTTTTCATATTTTGTTGCATTACAACCTGTAATTTAAATGGATTTCTATTTGGATTTCATGTAATGGACATACACAAAATAGTCAAGTAAAATGAAAAAAATTACTTGTTTCAAAAAATTCTAAAAAATAAATAACGGAAAAGTGGTGCATGCATATGTATTCCCCCTTTGCTATGAAGCCTCTAAATAAGATCTGGTGCAACCAATTACCTTCAGAAGTCACATAATTAGTTAAATAAAGTCCACCTGTGTGCAATCTAAGTGTCACATGATCTGTCACATGATCTCAGTATATATACACCTGTCCTGAAAGGCCCCAGAGTCTGAAACACCACTAAGCAAGGGGCACCACCAAGCAAGCGGCACCATGAAGACCAAGGAGCTCTCCAAACAGGTCATGGACAAAGTTGTGGAGAAGTACAGATCAGGGTTGGGTTATAAAAAAATATCAGAAACTTTGAACATCCCACGGATCACCATTAAATCCATTATTAAAAAATTGAAAGAATATGGCACCACCACAAACATGCCAAGAGAGGGCCGCCCACCAAAACTCACGGACCAGGCAAGGAGGGCATTAATAAGAGAGGCAACAAAGAGACCAAAGATAACCCTGAAGGAGCTGCAAAGCTCCACAGCGGTGATTGGAGTATCTGTCCATAGGACCACTTTAAGCTGTACACTCCACAGAGCTGGGCATTACGGAAGAGTGGCCAGAAAAAATCCATTGCTTAAAGAAAAAAATAAGCAAACACGTTTGGTGTTCGCTAAAAGGCATGTGGGAGACTCCCCTAACATATCGAAGAAGGTACTCTGGTCAGATGAGACAAAAATTGAGCTTTTTGGCCATCAAGGAAAACGCTATGTCTGGCGCAAACCCAACACCTCTCATCACCCCGAGAACACCATCCTCACAGTGAAGCATGGTGGTGGCAGCATCATGCTGTGGGGATGTTTTTCATCGGCAGGGACTGGGAAACTGGTCAGAATTGAAGGAATGATGGATGGTGCTAAATACAGGGAAATTCTTGAGGGAAACCTGTTTCAGTCTTCCAGAGATTTGAGACTGGGACGGAGGTTCACCTTCCAGCTGGACAATGACCCTAAGCATACTGCTAAAGCAACACTCGAGTGGTTTAAGGGGAAACATTTAAATGTCATGGAATGGCCTAGTCAAAGCCCAGACCTCAATCAAATTGAGAATCTGTGGTATGACTTAAAGATTGCTGTACACCAGCGGAACCCATCCAACTTGAAGGAGCTGGACCAGTTTTGCCTTGAAGAATGGGCAAAAATCCCAGTGGCTAGATGTGCCAAGCTTATAGAGACATACCCTAAGAGACTTGCAGCTGTAATTGCTGCAAAAGGTGGCTCTACAAAGTATTGACTTTGGGGGGGGTGAATAGTTATGCACGCTCAAGTTCTCTGTTTTTTTGTCTTATTTCTTGTTTGTTTCACAATAACAAATATTTTGCATCTTCAAAGTGGTAGGCATGTTGTGTAAATCAAATGATACGAACCCCCCAAAATCAATTTTAATTACAGGTTGTAAGGCAACAAAATAGGAAAAATGCCAAGGGGGGTGAATACTTTCGCAAGCCACTGTACATAGACATGGAACACTAATCACTTTAATAATGTTTACATACTGCTTTACTCATTTCATATGTATATACTGTATTTTACTCAATGCCATTCCGACATTGCTCATCTTAATATTTATATCTTTCCTAATTCCATTCTTTTACTTTTAGATTTGTGTGTATTGTTGTGAATTGTTATATACTAATGCATGGTTGGAGCTAGGAACACAAGCATTTCGCTACACCCGCAATAACATCTGCTAAATATGTGTATGTGACCAATAAAATTTGATTTGATTTGATTTACCACACCCCCTTGGGCCTTATTGTTTAATTATGTTCTGGCCCCCCAACCATCCGCTCAAGAAAATAAATCTAGTTGATGATCCCTGTCTTATAGCTTGGGGGTAATGTTCCCTCTAATATTTTTTGGCACTGAGCAAATTTCAGGTCTGCTTGAACCTTGTGAAATTTCTGTGCAATTTCCGGCGCGCGTTTACTGTGAACAAAATTAAAGTGGGTACAGCCTTAGTGGCCAATCAGGCTACTGTGGCTATTTGATCATAATGTAGGCCTACCAGAGTGGCCTGCCATAAACAACAATGGAGAAAATGCATCACATAACATTTTAACATGGAAATAGCGGTTTTATCATTCAGCCTACAGTAGCAGCCAATGTGTGGTGTTCAATGTAGGCCTACATTCCATGAGAAAAACTCTGTGTGCTCGTCATCCTCACCAGGGTCTTGACCTGACTGCAGTTTGGCGTCATAACCGACTTCAGTGGGCAAATGTCACCTTCGATGGCCGATGGTACGCTAGAGAACTGTACTCTTCACAGATGAATCCCGGTTTCAACTGTACTGTGTGGGCGAGCGGTTTGCTGATGTCAACATTGTGAACAGAGTGCCCCATGGTAGCGGTGGGGTTATGGTATGGGCAGGCATAAGCTACAGACAACGAACACAATTGCATTTAATCGATGGCAATTTGAATGCAGAGATACCGTGACGAGATCCTGAGGTCCATTGTCTTGCCATTCATCCACCGCCATCACCTCATCATGATAATACACGGCCCCGTGTCGCAAGGATCTGTACACAATTCCTGGAAGCTGAAAATGGCCCAGTTCTTCCATGGCCTGCAAACTCACCAGACATGTCACCCATTGAGCATGTTTGGGATGCTCTGGATCTTTGAAATTGATGCATGTTGTGTTGATATTTTTGTTCAGTGTAGCATACCCGTGTTTTGGCTGTAGGCCGTACAGTCTGTGGTCGAAGCTCTGGTTCAGATTCTTCTCTATCATCCTGGTAATCCAGGAGGGGAAGAGCTTCTGCAGCAGCCCGTCCAATCGTGAAGTGCCCATCAGGTCACCTGGCAGGCCCCCTGCCCCCACCCTGCTGACCACCCACGCCCCCCTCCGCGTGCTGAGGTACACCTGTAGACCAGGAGAGGAGGGGTTAGTGATCTTTGTCAGAGATTGCCTAGTCTCTTCATGTTCATGCTAGCTAGGAGTTTTGCATACTTCCCTCCATAATATCTGAGAGAAATACTTCAAGAAGAATCAGATGATTTCCCATTCACCTGCTCTGCTACTCTGCTGGCATCCACAGCGATGTCACCTCCAGAATTCCCGATCCTGACCACCACCACCCTCTTCCCCTGCAGCCCCTCGGCACTGCGGTATTCCCAACTGTGTAAGTACCTGCCCTCAAACTCCTCTATACCTGAGAAAATAAGAAATGGGATCATGGATTGATTGTAATAATTAACAAAGAAGAAGGATTGAATGTTAAGCTAATAATACTTTGTTCTGGATTTGACAGTTACCTGGGAAGTCATTGAGAGGCAGGTGTGGTTGTGTATAGTGACCGGTGCAGACCACCACAGCATCAAAGACCTGAGTCTCCCTCTGACCTTCTGTCCTCTCTGTCTCCACCTCCCACTGGCCCGACACTGGGAAGTCTGGCCTCTGTCGCACACTCACCACAGTGGTCTGACACATACGCAGACACACAAGCAAGCAGACAGTCAGGCAGACAGGCAGAAAGACAGACAGGCACACACACATACACACACAAATCATGACCATTTGTCGCTGAATGTGAACATAACAGGGGTAAACTGTCATAGCTGACTTGCATGACTGAATAGACATCAACTTCCTTCCTTCATGGTCTCTGACCTAGAAGTGGATGTGCTTGAGGAGGTCAAAGTTCTCAGCGTAGAGTCGTAGGTAGAGCAGTACCTGGGAGTGGTGCATGTTGTTGGGCAGGTGAGCTGGAGGAGGGAAGTCACTGTATGACATAATCTCCTTGGAGCTGTTGATTATGACAGACTGGTAGATGTTGGCCCTGCCTGGCTCTGGATGCTCCTAAAATACAATGACACCGACTGAGGATACGGTCCAATATACACACTACTATATACCACTTAGATTGTACTGTTTGTCCAAACATTCAATTTTGGGACAGAGTCAGAGTAATTCATAAAGGTTATACAGGTATTGAAACAGAGCCAGTGTCATTTATATCGGATATTGAATCTCCAGCAGTAGTGGGCTATGCCAAAACTCCATATTGCCACAAACACACACACACACACACACACACACACACACACACACACACACACACTCTGTCTCAGAGACTGGGATGGATGTCCTCCCTGTATCTTCTTACTGAGACTAAACAGCAGCGGATTAGTGTTGATCAGGCACCAGGTTCTTCAGCCAGTCCCCATGTCATTGCTGTAAATGAGAATGTGTTCTCAGTCAACTTACCTGGTAAAATAAGGATAAAATAAAAATACAACTCACTTTGAACCTCCACAGCCCCCCGATGTCATCACTCCCTCGAAGCAGGTGGGCTCCAGGCCCTCGTCCAGACAGCTCTTGATGCTGGTCAGACCTGAGGGACCCGCCCCGATCACTGCTACTGTACACACCATAATGAAACTACAGAAAGAGAGAGATGGTTAGTCCAATTGGAAGTGCCACTGGAATAACTACAACCAATAACAAATACACACAAGGTACAATATCACACTCACTTCTGTCCAGGCACAACACATGTGAACTTGGAGAGAGCCTGAGGGGCCCTGACCTGCACAGGCAGGAGAGGGTCATGACCAGACCAGATCAGTGCCTCTGATTGGTTAGTGGGGAGTGGCACTGTTTTTGGGGGATGGCCACGAGGAATGTCCAGCTAGGAGCCAAAGTTTATGACCTCTTGAAACTGTTTAGTGGCTCTGTTTAATTTGCATTTCTCTGAAGGCACTGTTTCTTTAGAACTTCACTGATTGGCTTTTCAATCCATACACCATTGTCAATCAATCAATAATATGCTTAGAGATCTATTTAAGGGTGCTTGAGTCGATCAGAAGGACAGAAGGGTATAAACAGAAAATAATACAGTTGATCATAAATACTTGTGACCTCTGAACAATAGTTAGCATTAGAAACAAAGTAACCAATATAAAGTATCTGCCTCTTCAGTGAGTAAGGAACACAGAGCTCCATGAATATTGTTTATCAGTCTCGGCGTAATCAGGGTTTCAGGAAGATTTACACTATAATTAACTTGCTTTTATGTTTTCCCAGAATTGCTCCGCCATTTTCTGGCTGCTCATGAGTCATGACCAATCCAGAAACCGGATAAACGTTGGAATTCAATTTTGAAAGGTGTAAGAGTGACGAAGAAATGGCTACAGTTCTCATGGACTGGTAATGTTAGGTAAGTGTTGGCGTTTTTTGCCTGCTAGCTGCGTTAGCTGAGAATCGTAGTGTGTTCAATGTGTCAAGCTAGCTAACACGGCTATTTAGCTACAGTAGCTAGCTAACATCTTGATTCAGACCGTTTTGTATTCAAATGAATCTAACGATGGCATCATGTAGTTACACTGCATAAACCACACAAGATGCCCAATGCCTTTATTTAAACTAGCTAACAGCTAGCTAAACCTAGATAAGCAGATTGTTGACATTAGTGAGTTTCGTTTGTAGATGACAATGCTAACTATATTACCCAGCATTTTCTATAAAATTCGGTACAGTAACATCACACAAACATCTATTTCTCAGGGAGATACTGGTGGAGACGGTCTGATTTCGAGGGAACCTGAGGCTGTACAAGTTGTTGTGCAAATCAACACTGTAAGAGGTAAGAAATGCTGTATGCATTTTCTGTTATGGTTAGTAATTCAATAATGATTTTTGTACATTACATTGCCTGCTTATATACAGCATTGATTCCTACCTAGTCTGAACTACTCCCAGAACGACAATGAATATCCAGCATGGTCAGTCAAGTAAAACATTGCTCATCTACCTTACATTTTGGTGGACTATGGGCCATCAAATCATGACTCATACGATGGTTACATTAGCATGACATGTTACACTAGTTACAGAACACCACCACATCCTATGTACAGTGCATTTGGAAAGTATTCAGACCCCTTGACTTTTTCCACATTTTATTACGTTACAGCCTTATTCTAAAATTGATTAAATGGTTTTTTCCCCTCAATCTACACACAATACCCATAATGACAAAGCATAAACAGGCTTTTAGAAATTTTTGCAAATGTATTAAAAATCAAAACTGAATATTTACATCACATTTACATAAGTATTCAGACCCTTTACTCAGTACTTTGTTGAAGCACCTTTGGCAGCGATTACAGCCTCGAGTCTTCTTGGGTATGACGCTACAAGCTTGGCACACCTGTATTTGGGGAGTTTCTCCCATTCTTCTTTGCAGATCCTCTCAAGCTCTGTCAGGTTGAATGGGAAGCGTCGCTGCACAGCTATTTTCAGGTCTCTCCAGAGATGTTAGATCGGGTTCAAGTCCGGGCTCTGACTGGGCCACATTCAGAGACTTGTCCCGAAGCCACTCCTGCGTTGTCTTGGCTGTGTGCTACGGGTCGTTGTCCTGTTGGAAGGTAAACCTTCACCCCAGTCTGAGGTCCTGAGCGCTCTGGAGCAGGTTTTCATCAAGGATCTCTCTGTACTTTGCTCCGTTCATCTTGCCCTCGATCCTGACTAGTGCTGCCACCACCATGCTTCATTGTAGGGATGGTGCCAGGTTTCCTCCAGACATGAAGCTTGGCATTCAGGCCAAAGAGTTCAATCTTGTTTCTTATGGTCTGAGAGTCTTTAGGTTCCTTTTGGCAAACTCCAAGCGGGCTGTCATGTGCCTTTTACTGAGGAGTGGCTTCCGTCTGGCCACTCTACCATAAAGGCCTGATTGGTGGAGTGCTGCAGAGATGGTTGTCCTTCTGGAAGGTTCTCCCATCTCCACAGAGGAACTCTGGAGCTCTGTCAGTGACCATCAGGTTCTTGGTCACCTCCCTGACCAAGGCCCTTCTCTCCCGATTGCTCAGTTTGGCCGGGCGGCCAGCTCTAGCAAAAGTCTTGGGGGTTCCAAACTTCTTCCACTGTGTTCTTGGGGACCTTCAATGCTGCAGAAATGTATGGGTACCCTTCCCCAGATCTGTGCCTCGACACAATCTTGTCTCTGAGCTCTATGGACAATTCCTTTGACCTCATGGCTTGGTTTTTGCTCTGACATGCACTATACAACAATAGAGCAGAACCACATGTTTTTTTCCCTTAAGATAACCATATGCCAGACAATCGCTGGGGGGAGGAAAAAAACTCAAATGTTTGTTCATCTTTAAGAGACTAACACTAGGAGGTTTAAAAAATGTGTTTATTTATTAGGGTGTTTGGGCTTTTCAGAGTTATGGAATTTGAGTTTTATGATATCCTGTTTTGTGTATGAAGAGAGAATGGATTGATTCCAAAAGGTCAAAATCTTTACAAATGTCTCTACAGTATTTAAAAATGAACAGAACAGTCACTGCATAGAGACCCTGCTTCTCAGAGGCTGGGGGTGTCAAACGTAGCCCACTATTTATGGAGCAGGTTGCCGTTTGGGCTTCAAGGTATTACTTTTTTTGTGTTAAAAATGCTTGACCTGTTACACATGTTACATTGGAGGTGGTGTTGTGCTATAACCACTGTAACACGTAATGCTAACGTAACCATCATATTACTTGATCGCCCATAGTCCACCAATATGTCATGCAGATGAGCCATTGTTTACTGACCACACTGGGTATTCATTGTCATTCTGGTGGGTAGTTCACAATAGGTAGGAATCAATGCTGTATATAGGCAGGCAATGTGCTGAACAGGCAAACATGATTAACTATTTTGGTCAAATCACAGCATAACGGAAAATGCATACAGCATTTCTTACCTCTGTTTCAGTGTTGGGGTTTGCACAACCACAACTTGTACAGCCTCGGGTTACCTTGAAATCAGACTGCCTCCACCAGTATCTCCCTGAGAAATACATGTTTGTGTGATGTTACTGTACCAAATTGTATAGCTTGATGCATTTCTTGGGTGTGGTCATTGCCGGAAAATTATGTCGACCACCTAGCTAACTAAGTTAGCACTTTCATCTACAAACGAAACACACTATCATGTCAATCATCTTTATATCTAGCTTTAGCTAGCTAACCTTAGCTAGATGAAATAAAGGCATTTGGCATCTTGTGGTGTTTATGCAGTGTAACTACATGATGCTATCATTTAATTTCCTTTGAGTACAAAACAGTCAGAATACAGAAGATGTTAGCTAGCCAAGTAGCCGTGTTAGCTAGCTTGAACATTTAACACACTAAGGTTAGCAGCTAACGTAGCAAGCAGGCTAAAAATGCAACCCAATACTTACCTAAGGTTACCAGTCCATGAGAATGGTGGCCATTTCTCTTCCACTTTTCAAAATTAATTCCAATGTTTATCCGGTTTCTGGATTGGTCATGAGCAATCTTTTTCTCGCTTCTTTTGACTTGAGTTTATTCAGATCCAGGAACAGAGAATGATGCTTGTTGGCTTCGTCTGCTCTGATTGTTTCTGGCGGCTGTAAAGTTCAATTTCAAGTGCATTTCACTTCCTCTCCAGCTCTGGGGAAGCGGGGTCATTCAAGTAGGCGGGATTAGCACAAAGACACGCCTTGCCCAGAAGGCTAGCCCAAGGCGGCTCAGTGAAAAGTGGGGCGGCATAGCGTCGCCAACGACCTGCGGATTCCTGCTTTAAATTCTAATGGTTATTGGCCTAATTTTTGTTTATATGGCAAAACAAGCAATGAATAGTGTTGAGAATCATTGTACATCTTTAAAACGGTGTGAAATATAGTATTTTCAGCTGTTTGAAGCTGGTGTACAAAATCGAAAGTAAAATGAGCAAAAACGAAACAAGAACGGCAAGTATAGAAATAGCCCACATTGAACGAATCTACCGCTTCTCAGACTTGCTTTCATTAACCACGTTTCCATCCACAGTTTTTATGCATATAAAGTAATACCATATACAAAATAAATATCAGTTTCGGTACAATTGTATAAATGCAGACAGATAATTTGTTTGTTTGACATGGTGGGATCTTTTTGTTGTCAGTAACATTAATTATGTGAAAAATGGCTTCGGAAACACCTTTAAGCGCAAATATTGATATAATAACCATCATATTGATGTAAACTTGGAGTCACAAGATGAAATGGTGTGTGGTCCTTCCACTACGACTCAGGAAACCATGCAGTTTATCTACAGATGGAATAAATTATAATAAACTTTACAGGGTGGTGAAAGTGCATGGTGATCTTGATGCTCCTTTCCAATAAATATCGAGGGCCTTATTCTGATGACATGATGATCGATGCTTGACTGCCATTTGACAAATACAAATATTCATAATAATCTTATTGTGTAGACTAGCCTACCCGCACAGCCTACTCGCACTGTTTCTGCGAGCTGTTGGCTAGAGCGCACGTGCCAGGACCAGAGTAGGCTATGCTATTTAACGCAACAGTTTTTGTGAGAGGTAGAGTTGAAAATGCGATGGAAACACATTGAACTAGAATTTTTATTCGGTACA